TCTCTGCTTTCCATGACTCAGGATGGTGCCCCACTCCCAAACCCCCTATTGCCTTTCAACCTCCCTGCTAGACTTCACCACTTTTCGCCCTTGCAGGGCTGTTGTTCAAACTTTATTCCATCATCAAGGAAGCCATCCCTGCCTGTAAAAATCTCACCCCTTTCTTAAATTATATCTCAAATGCCCCCTTCTCCATGAGGCCTTTCCTACTCTCCAACTGAGGCTATTTTCTTTGTGCTCCACTTGTGCCCACCTCCACCCTTATCACAGACAGGTATGTCATTCTCAGAACTCAGAGGGCAGATACTGGGTTTGATCACAGTACCAGCTTCATCTTCAATCTAGCACACCTTTGGCCCAAAGGAGGAACTCTGGGAAGATGAACGAAATGTGGCTGTGGTTCACCTGTTCATTGAGGTACCCCTCCCTAAATTCCCCAGCCTCGATTTTACCCCTGCTGCTCACCCCTCACTGCTCCTGGCTGACCCTGGCCTGGCCAGTGCTCCCAGCTCAACCTCACACATCTCTAGTCCTGCTCCTGCAGGGAAGGGAACACCAGGCTGGAAGGGTAGTGGCTGGTGGCCAAGGCCAAATCTAATAGCTTCCAGCCAAGCCTAGCAGGAGGGAGTGTGCAGAAGGGGCATTCAGCCTTGGTACTTGGTCCCTAATTTGAAAATCTAGACCTTGCTGAAAACTGATTTATTTCAGGTAATTGTTGTATGGGTGTGGCACAAGAATGACATAGCTCTGGGAGAAATGGGTAGAAATATTCATCAAATTCTAAGATCCACATGAAAGCTGGTTAACTATGAATTAAACCAGCCAGATGTGGCAGCCACCAATGGTGGTCTAGGGAGTGAGAGAAGGGGAGGGAGTGCTGAAATGGGAGACCAAGCCCTGGAATCTAACACCTGACCTTTAAGGAAAGGGGAGGGGCACACACGGCTCCTCTGGGCCTCTTTGTCTGTATATGGAGAGGGTTGCACTTGATGGTTGAGAGGACCCTCTGAGCCCTGGGAGTAGAGATTTTATTAAAATGTTATTGCTCAGACTCACATATGACTGTATCTCCAAAAAATTGAAAAGGAAGTTCAGATTTAACAGAAGGTGATGAGCATTTTAAACAAAAAGCTGTCCACACCAAAGTTGGAAATCTAATAATCAGCAAGCTGAAAACAAATTATTTTCTTGAATTACAAGTTGTATGCTAGGCAAAATGGGAAGACTGCATTAACAAAATCATTACTGTCTGGGGATCTACTAATGGAATATATTCTCCTGTCTGAGTGCTCCAGAAATGCTAACAAAATGCAATCAAAATAGGTCTAAGTCTTGTGTAGATAAGTAAATTTCATGATCTGTATAGTTATTTCTGTAGGAAAGAGATGTAGTGCAAAATGGGGAGAGTGGAGGGCAAAACGAAGCATCATTCTACTTCAATCTCTAGTTTGTGTTAAAGCCACTGTTTGCAGGTATTAAATTCTACATATTAAATTGTTCTTTAAAGAAGTTTTGGTGCTGGGGAATTTCCCCATTCAATACCTATAAAGACAAAGGTCCTTGAGACAGATCACACACACACACACACACACACAAACACACACACAGGCACACAGCAAGACAGAGAACTAATTCGGTTGCAATTTTTCAAAGTGACACCATTTAGACAGATCAATACTATCTAGCTAAGATATGTATTCACCACATAACCCTTGCTCTAGGTGCTAATTTTCTAGTGACTTAGCTAATTAAGTTAGCAAGGTCGTGTCAATCTCAATCCCTTTCTCTCTCAATCTCTCAATCTCCCAATATCCTTTCCTCCTGCTCTCCCTTCCATAGGCTCTTTCCGAATTACAGGCAGATAACCTGAGCTATGCACTAGAAATGAGAGGTGCATGTTTCTGTTAGACAGTGCTTAATTGCAACTTTGGGATAATACAAACAATTGGGGTTAAAAAGCACCCTTTGAGTTTTTTTCATATTGAGAAGTGACAACTTCAGAGAAGTATTTCTGAAGGATGAATAAGTATTAGGACAACTGTATGGTCCACCCAGTAAGAAGCTTCCAAGAAACTCCTTCATGTAGAAATTAAGTTATTTTGCTCTTCCAGATGGTGCTTGTAGTGATGGGGTAGAAATTCATACCTAATGGTTTGCTCTGTCTTGAGACTTTTACAAACAAAAGATTAAATTATGACTTGAATGGTATTAGCCACAAGTCTGCAAATATTAATTTTATTTTTAATTTGTTCATCCATGCATTCACCTACCAAACAAGTATTTACTCAATGTTTACTTATGTGCCAGGTACCTGATTACGCAGTGAAAGATGTTCTCCCCTCTAAGCTGTCCTTTAGAGTTCACAATTCCTGCATTTTCTAAGTTGGCTAACTGCCATTTTATCTCTTATTTATTAGAGATTTTAGAGGTGTTATGTTTTCCTCATTAATCAAAATTTGTATGACACAAGTAGAAAGCATATATTATGAGTACAGTAAAGACAGCCCACAGATCCTGTAGGAAATTAATATGAAGCTTGATTTTCTTAGATGTTTCCTTAAATTATGGATAATTTAAACCATTAATTTATTTTTGGTCAATAGCTTTCTAAATGCACTACAGTTATTTGCCTTTAGTGCAGAACATATTCATGACTCAGGGTTACCACTAATGCTAAGTATGCTATGCTGTAACACAGTGACTATATTGGGCACTATAGTGGGATATAGAATGGTTTGCACCAATGCTGAGTAGCCCTTGACCATCATGAGTTTTTTTTTTGGGGGGGGGGGTCTATTGCCTATTGTTTTTGCAGTTTGTCTTCTTTAGACAGCTGCTGGTATCCCACTACTCAACTCACGTTCTTGATTCTTATTTGCTGTTTCTAAATTGCTGTGGGCTTACAAACAATATGATCAAGAGGTAAAGTGGTTGTTAGGGAGGATAGAAAGATGCTTCTAGGAAAAGACAAGAACTTAATTTTTGTGACATCTCTTCTGGTTGTTGAGTGGCTAGTTGTTATTTTCTTTTTCTTTCTTCGTAATGTTCTAACTCGATAATATGTGCTGGGTAGCTGTTTTCTTGATAGTTGGATTTCTTCCTCAATTTACAGCATGCAAGATTCTCTATGGTTTAATTTGATTTTTTGAAAGGATTTCTTAGAACTATATATTGTAACTGGTAGGTAGATTTTCAGCTATTTAGAAAACGACAAAACTGTTTACCATGGCTTAGCAGTGATATCATGATAGAATGAGAGGCATGATTATGTTAGCTATTTTGTTACACGTGGTCAATTTTGAAATGTATATTCATTCCCCTTATCAAATGATTGGCAAATGTAGGGCTCCCAGGAAGTGCGTGCTGTGATCTCTAGGCTTCCATAGTTAGTCAATTTGCTAAGAACATGGGGAAAGTGAGACTTGTTAACTAAATCCCAGAGACCATAAGTCAGAAAAGTAAGGTAACATGACTTACCGTTTGCCAGTCCAATGTCTTCTCAGATATCCTGAGGGAGATGGGATGATACTGAGCTGGGCTCAGATGATGGAATTTGGGATCAATGGTCAAATAGTTTTATTGGGATCTTATCAATGATAAGCATGAGGACATGATATTCCTATATCTGGAAATTTCCAGACAAACCTAATGGATAGTGTTAAAATTTATGATTAAAAAACAAAAGACTGGGAACTTTTATCACATATTCCAGAAAGTCAAACGGTTATTTTTCTCCCTAGAGCTTATTGCTTTAATAATCTGACAAGGTTTGCATGTCATGGGAGCTACATACATTATGTTCCTTTAAACTGATCCCATCTGATGACATACCAGGAATTAATAACCAGGAGGTGATGAGAGAGGTGTGATCTCCCCCCCTTATCTGGACCTATTACAGCCCAGGATCATTTTACACCCAATCTTGCTCGCCTCTTGGTTATTCTTAGCACAGGGCTATTCTGGAGCTGAGACATCGAATATGGCAGCCACTTGCTACTTGTGGTCTATTTAAATCTAAATCTATTAAAATTAAATAAAATTGAAAATTCAGTTCCTTAGTAGCACTAGCCACATTTCATGTGTTCATTAGCCACCATATCTGCATATTGGACACTGCAGATATAGAACATTTCCATCATTGCAGAAGGCTCCATGGGACAGTGCTGTTCTGGAGTCTTGCCTCGGGGTGGCTGCTACACCTGTACACATGGCCCCTCTATCTCCAGCAAGCCTACACAACTCCGTAAATGCCTCGCCTAGCCTGACGTAGCACTGCTCTGCAGCAGGGTCCTGAGAGCTCTAAGACTTTATGCCAATGTTCCTCTTTGTGCCTTGAGATGCTCTCTATTTGTATTTTGGAAACACAGTTATTTCTACTGGTTGGTTGTGTAACTAATCATGCCAATTTTTTTGCTGATCCTCTGTTAACCATGGAGCATATTGTTTTGTATGCTGTGGGAAAGATTCTTCAACCAAGTTGGAAACAATGACTTGTGAAATTTCAGGGCCCTACGATTCTACTTATTCCAACAAAACAGAGTATCAGTTGATGTCCTTCCCTCTAAACTAGAAATGTGAGATAAAATGAGGATGGAGGAAATATTTAGATTGACAGAAAACTTCAATGGAATTCAAAACCCAAAGACCACAAGGTGGAATGGTTAGCTGCAGATGAATTCTAATGTCAGGATTTCCCACAAGATTTAATGAGGAGAAGCTACTTTTATTTCTTCAAAGCCTGGTATTCATTCTGGCTCAATAAATGAGAATGTTGAGGAGAGATGGGGAGGAACACAGCTGAATACGTGACTTTAGTCTCCACTAGGACTTTTCGACAATTACAGAGAAAGGGGAGTGAGTAAGAAAGAAGTCTGACAGCAACTGCCTTAGAAAACTGACCAGATAAGGTTCACCAATTGCCTTTGATCCACTTCTTGGGAACCCTGTTGCCCGGTTTTTACGGCCTAAGTGTGCACCTCTAAGACCCTCCACAAACCTACTTGTTATGGAAATCGTAGATCTCTTGGATGTTGCCAAAGATGATATGCTCTTTATTGAGGATCCCAGGGGGGATCTCCTCCACACCACTGGTCATTTCCCACAGGTAGGTCTGTAAGACAGTAACAGTTTCATCACTGGCAAGCCTGGCATGCCATATAAAATACAGACAAAATAAACAGGCACTCAAACTTGTGGGGCAAGACTCAAACTGTAAATGCATGTAGAGTTTAAAAAGTGATGTGTTACGTAAACATAAGAGAAATAAATAAAACCTGAATATTTCATTATCCTGAACTTTAGCAAAAAAGTGATGTGCTAAGTAAACATAAGAGAAATAAATAAAACCTGAATATTTCATTATCCTGAACTTTAGCAAGAACACAAACTCCACAGTCTCTTGTTATTTATGAAATGTGTGTAAATTTGAGTATGGGGGGTCAGGATGCAGATTTTCAGACCCAATTTAAGTTCACTGACTGTGTCATGGTTTTATTTTGAACTGAAGTGCCTTATACACTTCTTTTTCCTGGGTCTAGCTCCCGTCTGAGAAAAGTTTAAACTTTCTTTTCAAAAGTACTTTAAACTCTCTGCAATTATTTTTGACTTTAGGAGAAAGATTTCCTCTGGCTGGCTTTTTAATTCATTACTCTCTGGGAGAAGACCAACAGCACCAAATTCCAATTGAGGACTTGATGCTGGCAAGGATGTCATTTTTCCGATATAGCTGTGAACGGACTACTGGAAGACTCACCTCTAAGCACTCATGTAAATCCCTTACATAAGCCTTCTCTGTCTGGAGTAGTTCAGCCATAATAAATCTAGAAGGAAACAAATGGGCTTTTAGTTGGTTATAGATATAATGTCTCTCCTCCTTCAAACTTCACTTCCCCACCCCGGCATGTATGACATTCTTAAATGTCCTATTTTTCTACTTCATCAACAGGTCTTTTCCTTTCTTCAAAATTCCTTCCCTTTCCTACAGGTATCTTCCTATGATACTTGTGATCCTTCCTGACCATTGGCCCTGCATCCCTTTAGCAGGTTTGTGCTCAGCTAGGTCCATATTCTTTCTCTTTTCCACCCCAGTCCTACTACTAATACTTGTGATTCTGTGGTGATATTCATGTGAGTACAGGCAGGCAGGACTGTTCATATATTCTGTCTCACCAACTAGATAGCTTGAATCTCAGTTTTCCACATTTCGCTTACAGCTCCCAGAATGATTTCTGTTCAGTAGAGTTTGTAGATGTATACCAAAGCAGTTCTTGGTACCATAACAAACCAGGTTTCAAAGTCCGGAAAAGATATCCAATACACCGAGATCAGGGGTTAGCAATTTTTCTATAAAGAGTCAGATAATAAATCTCTGTGGACAATTCGGTCTCTGTCACAACCACTCAACTTTGCTGTTGTCATGTGAAAGGAGCCATAGACAATGTGTTAAAAAAAAAAAAAGTAAGTGTGGCTGTGTTCCAATAAAACCATTTATGGACACTAAAAGTTGAATTGTATCTAATTTTCACATGTTATAAAACATTATTCTTCTTTTGATAATTCTTCCAACTATTTAAAACTATAAAAGGTAATTTTTAGTTCATAGACTATATCAAATAGTTGGCAGGTCAGATTTGGTCTATGTTTGCTGACCTCTGATCTAGATTATCCTTTTAGCTATTTGTTCAATACATTTCCAATGGGACTTGTTTACAGCATCAACGGATGTATAGAAAACTGAACATGCAACCATAAGCACAGTACAAATCAGTAATAAATGACTGCTTCTCAGTCCCCCACAAAGAGAAGTGTGTGTTATGTATCTTTAAAGAGAGGGTTCTCCTCCTCCCTGGGCCTCTAAATAATACAATGTGCTTAGGCAATTGTTAAACTTATGATACATGGCCTCGTTGTGGTATATTCTATATTTTTCTATTCTTTGATTTTAACTCTATTGGTAGAGTAAAAAGTGCATAAGCTTTGGAGTCAGACAGATAGGAACTGAATTACAACCAGAGGTAGGACTTGCCTCTCCAGGTCTCGTCTCCTTACTTATAAAATAGCTGATCACACAGAATTGCTGCAAGTATTAAACAAGATCACGTAAGCAACATGCCGAGTGCATGGTAGGTGCTCAGGAAACATTCCATGATTAAATGAGCTGTAGATTGCTATGAAATTAGGACAGAAGGGAGATCAGAAGGAAAATAAACTGACAGGCTTTGAAAACTTGCCTTTGATTTTACTGCCTTAGGTTTTCTAGAATTGTTCTTTTGTTCCCATCTGCTTCCTGCAGTTTTACCTATCTTTCTTCACAATTTAGCTCTGCTATCACCACCCCATTTTGTTTTATTTCCCACCCATCCTTTAATCTCTTCTGCCTATTTGTTGTCACAGAAGGAACCAAGGAGGAAGATCTGGCCAGGTGTAGTCCCCTCATCCCCCTCCCAGATATGGGCTGAATTATGACCCCCCTGAAATTCATATGCTGAAGCCTTAACCTCCAATACCTCAGATTTTGGTCTTATTTGGAAACAGTATCACTGTAGTAGTGGAGTAGAGTGGCCCCTGGATCTAACGACTGATGTCCTTATAAAATGAGGAATTTTTCACACAGGCATATATTCTGGGATTATGTCACATGAGCACGAAAACAGCCATCTACAAGCTATCAAGGAGAGAGGCCTGGAACAGACCCTCCCCTCACTGCCCTCAGAAGGAATCAGCCCTGCTGATATCTTGATTTTAGGCTTCTAGCCCTCAGAGCCGTGAGACAACACAATTCTGCTCTTCAAACAACCCAACTTGTGGTACTTGGTTACAGCAGTCCTAACAAACAAATCCACTCCCCATATGAACAAGCTCTGACTTCATAGAGCAGCTTTAGTTTCTTCAGCTCCAAGGAACCTGTGGTCCTACGTCATCTTGATAAAATAAACTACATAGGGCTTCTTAATTTTAGGACATACTATTTTTTTTCTAGTAATTCCCAAACAGAGTGTCAAAATATTCTTCATAAACTCCTCCAGAAATCTCTGGATATGTGTTACTTTGTAACCCCAGCATAAAGGAATTAGTGTCAAGAAATGGTTTATGAGATGGGCACGGTTCATTGCTTACCCTGTCCAATGCCCTGTAATTCTTGATTAGAGTGAAATGTTGGTAGACAACTCCCTACCAAACAACCAAAGAAGAAAAATGTGTTTTGCCTACCTGGAGTCAGGACGTTTCTGAAAGTGGTGCTGAGATACTTAGGGAGCAAAGCAGGAATCTAGTGATAAGTTGGTTCCAGCTTGCTAAATGAATTCTGGTCCCTATTCATTCTTATTCTGAGAAAACAGAATTCAATTTATGAAAACCTCAGCTACTTCAGATTCTTCCAAAATGTTGGAATCTCAGCATCCTCTACTCTCTTCTTGCCTATTTTCCTCTGCCTCATCTCCTCATGGGCTATTGCTGACCTAGGAGTAAACTTAGGTGGCAGCTTTACGTTCTAACATCTACGGGTCACTCACTGGACCAATTTCCAAGCATCTTTTTCTTCCTTTTGAAATCTGAATACCTAGATCAAGTCAGGGCAGGGACCATCTGATACTGGAATGCCTCCTAAAGCATGCCTTATTTTCTTCTGGCCCAATGGTGTATCCCTGAACTTCAAGTAAAGAAATCGACGTTACAGTCCTTATTTGTTTTGCGATTTTAAATAATGTCCTGCCCTTCCCTCAAGGTTTTAATTTCTATATCCAATTATGTTCCATAAGATTTTCTTTTCCTTCCTTTTTTATTTTGAGATGGAGTCTTGCTCTGTCACCCAGGCTGGAGTGCAATGGAGCAATTTTGGCTTGTGGCAACCTCTGCCTCCTGGGTTCAAGGGATTCTCATGTCTCAGCCTCCTAAGTAGCTGGGATTACAGGTGCACACCACCATGCCTGGTTAAGTTTTGTATTACTTTTTTTTTTTTTTTTTTTTAGCAAAGACAGGTTTCTGCCATGTTGGTCAGGCTGGTGTCGAACTCCTGGCTTCAGGTGATCTGCCCACCTCAGCCTCCCAAAGTTACAGGCATGAGCCACTGTGCCCTGCCTGACTATAAGCTTTTCTTGATCAATAATTACATTATCTTCATTATTCTCTAGTCCCTTGATTCATACAAGAGAGTATAAAATACTTCTTATTGTCACGGAGCATACAATCTAGCTTAGGAATTGGTTGAATAAGTAAAATGGGAATTGGTACAGAAAAGAAGTAAAGGAGTTCATAAAAGGATGGGCCAATGACAGTGGGGGTTGTAGATAAAGGATTTATAGAGGCATAGGATATGAGCTGGATTTTAAAGAATCAATAAGACTTACAGAGAGCAAAATAAAACCAAACAGGAAAAAAAGGAAGGGAAACGAAAGGGAAAATAACAAAGAGAAAGGAGAGCATTCTCTCTCTCTCTCTCTTTTTTTTTTTTTTTTTTTTTTGAGACATAGTTTTGCTCTGTCCGCCAGGCTGGAGTGCAGTGGCGCAATCTCTGCCTCCCGGGCTCAAGCAATTCTCCTGCCTCAGCCTCCCAAGTAGCTGGGATTACAGGCGTGTGCTACCACGTCCGGCTAATTTTTGTATTTTTAGTAGAGACAGGGTTTCACCATGTTGGCCAGGCCGGTCTCAAACTCCTGACCTCAGGTGATCCGACTGCCTCAGCCTCCCAAAGTGGTAGGATTACAGATGTGAGCCACTGTGCCCGGCTAGCAGAGCATTCTCAATTATATACAATTTATTCTTAGACCTGAGAGGAGTCAGTGAAAATGATCTGACTGAAGGGTGTGATCTGAACTAGAAAGTATTTTGAAGTAAAATTGACTTAGATGAGACCAAAGGATAGTACCTTGAGGATTTTTATCATTATTCTGGGGGTTGTAGCAAACCATTTACAATTTGAAGCTGGTGACAGACATAATGGAAAGAAATCAAAGAATGTTGAAGAGTCAAAGCTAGATTAAATTCTGGCTTCATTGCTCACCATCTGTGTGGTTTGGAGAAAGTTACTTGACTTTTCTAGGTCTTATTATATGTAAAATGGGAATAATCTTAGCTGCCTGAGAGAACTGATAGAAAGATACAAAGAGAAAATGTGTGTAAAGGCACTTTATGTAATGTTTAGGACATAAAAAGTGTAGGTGCTGGTGGCAGGAGAGTATTGGTATTAGCAATAATAAAATGTACTCCAGAAAGGTAAACCTGGCATCGCTGTGCAGGTGAATTGGGCAGGGACCAGCAGCAGGAAAACTGTGGGAAGTTTTTGCAAATAATCTAGAAAAAACTAGAAGATTAGTGACACTATTGATGGCAATTAGAAAATCAGAAGAGAGAGGCTGGGCACGGTGGCTCATGCCTATAATCCCAGCACTTTGGGTGGCTGAGGTGGGCAGATCACTTGAGGTCAGGAGTCTGAGACCAGCCTGGCCAACATGGTGAAACCCTGTTTCTATTCAAAATACAAAAATTAGCTAGGTATGGTGGTGCACACCTGTAATCCCAGCTACTTGGGAGGCTGAGGCAAGAGAATTGCTTGAACCCAGGAGGCGGAGATTGCAGTGAGCTGAGATCATGCCACTGCATTCCAGCCTGGGTGACACTGGGAGACTCTGTCCCAAAAAATAAAAAAAAATTAAAAATGTTAAAAAAAGAAAATCAGAAAGGAGAATAAAATTTGGAGGAGATGAAAAAAATATTTGATTTGTTCCATGTTGAGTTTTGACATTGTGAAGTACAATGTGATGATCTATGAGGAAGGTTTTGTCTAGGAAGTTGCTAATAAATGAAGATAATTCAGGTGAAGGACAGACGGGAGAGACTTCAAAACCTTCAGAGGGAACTCATATTCTCAATGCAAATGTTATGTCTGTCCATCCCAATCCCTGTAGGTGGCCACGAGGACATATTAAGCTATCCAAAGGAACAAGTGGCAGTGAAAGCCCACCACAGTCATGGCGGGCCAGCTAGCGCGGCGGAAGCCAACACGTACTCTTTCTTCCGGGCTGACTTCCGCTTCTCTTCATTGACTTCGTGGTTGGCGTCCCGCAGCTTGACCTCCCGATCCGAAAGGCTTGCTGGGATAATATCCAGCTCCAGGTCCTTATTATCCTGCACATGGAGGGATCACAAAGGTCACCTTGTGATGCTTTGGGAAAGCAACTCAATCGAGTTGAGGGAGGTGGTAAAAGAGGGAAAAAGGTATATAATGGAGAAGGATAAAAACATGAGGGATCTTACAGACTCATACCCAGAAGCACTGTTCTTCATGGGATCATTATTGTGTTTTCAAATAAGAGAGAAATAAAATGTTCAGGTCAAATGTTTAGGGTAAATATCCACAGTAAGAAAAAACAATAAACACATTTGATAATTATGTGTCTATTTCCCCAAGGCCTTTGGTCCTAATTAAATCTAAACACATTCATAAATTGGTCTACGACTGATTCTTAACCATTTAAAATAGATGTGAAACAAAAACACATAAAGATATAAAACATCTTTCATTTGTCAAAAGAAAATAATCAAACCAAATATATTTATTTAAACAAGCAATTTCCCTTGGAAACAGAAAGCTAAATAACAGAACAATAACTGAACTTTCTCATTGCTCATCCCTACTAATTTTAACCACCATTTGGTATTTATATATGATGGAACTTCCTAGATAAAAACTCACAGATTAAAGCCTGGGGGAGACATTAACTCTCTCAACTTTAGGTAGTTTGGCCACTTCACTCTCCAGGCTGCTCTGCTTCAGATCATGAGCCTATTTGAAGATTTAAGAATTAGACATCCTAGGATTAAATTGCCAGGCTGTATTAAGCTCTTAATTCACAGGTTACTAACCCCTAGTATAAAGAAGAGATTAAAAGTTCATCTTCCCTGGTTCATGGCAAATTGTACCTTTGTTCTGTTGAAATGTCAAATAATCCTTGTACAAATTGCACCCCTTATTCTTGAAAGAGCACTATTATATATACTGGGCACTCTAATCATTTGCCGATTAACATAATTGGGTGGAAGATGGTACTTATGAAGTTAAGATAAAGCTTTTCGTTCTCAAAGTCTATACAGAGAAAAACTCTGTTCTGTAGCCATAGGCCCCATGACTGTCCAGTTGATTTTGTAATGTATAGAGTACTCATCACAGGGGACTGGAGGTTAAAGGATCAGCAATATCCACCCAGCACTCCCCCACTAGAAAAGCCACACGAGGCAGGTGCTCTAGGGGTCAACAGCTCGGAAGAACTGCTCTGGAAACATGCTTTTCTTCCATGGTGATGAGGGCAGTGGTGCTCAGGGAAATGAGAAGGGAGGATGTCCCAAAGGGCAATACCCCTGCCTACCTCTGTGTTGACTCCTAGGGCTTTCTCCAGGGAGTACCGGTACTTCCCCATCCTCAGGGAGAAATCTCTGTAGTGCTTGTCCACCGTGGTCACCCATTTCCTTATCTCCGTGGCATGAATGTGGCCTTTTTCCACAAAGCTATCAGCCAGCTGAATCAGAAGCTTCACCTTCTCCTTTGTTTGCTGCCCCAAAAGATGGCCTTAAGTTACTGGATTACATTTATTCTCCTGTCCCTTCATCCCAAATCCTCTCTTCCTGTTTAAAGCAGCCGTAGATACCTCATAGCTGACTACCTGGGTATGTATCCCAGCTTTGTTACTACTAACTGGGAGATCTTAAGCAAGTTATTGAAGCCCTCTGTGCCTCAGTTTCTTCATTTGCAAAAAGGGAATCATAATATTACAGTCATCCCTCAGTGCTGGGGTGGGGGAAACTGGTTCCAGGGCCCCCCATGGATACCAAAATCCAGATACTCAAGTTCCTCATAAAACATGGTGTAGTTTTTGCTTATAACTTAGCCACATCCTCAGGAACACTTCAAATCATCTCTAAATTACTTACAATACCTAATACAATGTAAATACTAAGTAAATAGTTGCTATTCTGTATGGCTTAGGGAATGATGACAAGAACAAAAAAGTCTATATATGTTCAGTGCAGACACAACCATCCATTTGAAAAAAACATTTTCAGTTCACAGCTGGTTGAATCCATGGATGCGATACCTGTAGATATGGAGGGCTGATCCTACTTCAGAGGGTTGGTGTATTAAATGAGTTGATAAACGTAGAATGCTTAGTACAGTGGAACACAGTAAGAACTCAGTAAGCAATAAACATTAGCCATTATTATTATTGATGTAAGAATCTCTTATATTAATATGCTTTACTAATTTACACAGTGTGTTACTGTATCTGAAAGCCATTTGAGTTCAGATGCATCCTTAGGAAGCAGGTGGAGGGAAGTGATGCAGGTCTCTTTGAACCACAGATGAAAAAAATCTGAGGCTTAGAGAGGCTTAGGGCTGGTCCAACTTCATACTAGCAGTAAGCAAACGAGTCTATTTGTCTCTGCCCTTTAGTTCCTAGTTCCCCCCTCTACTGTACCAGCTCTAAACCTCATGTAAGTTGGCACATGCCAGGATCTAAATAAATACAATGAGTAGATTTAAGAGTTAACTCTGTCCCTGTCACCACCAGAATCTTGTCTTTAGTTTCCATTAGACAGCAGGAGAAAGAGGTTAATGAAGCCATCATCTATTACAGGACTAGGTAAAGTGGAACTCAGATGTTTACTGGGTTAATTTCATTTTTAGCAAGAGTTTGTTCAATACCTACTTGGTCCATAGTACTGTGTAAAGAGCTATAGGGCCGGGCTTGGGGGTCAAACGAAAGGAAAAAAAAATCTTCATTTCACACAGAGTAGTTAAATAACTCAGGGCATTATGTAATTGAATGTCAAAATGGGAGAATGTAGAGTTAATATTATAGGAATTTTAAAAGGGGAAAATGAAGGTGGACAGGCATGGGTAGCGGAGGTCTCATGGAGAGGCAGCACTTAAGCTGGGTAAGTCATGGGAATGAGAGAGACACCCAACAAGTGGACGGCTGCCCATTTTTTTAATCTTAAGTTTGGATTTTCAAACTCTAACATTGCTCAGGGAAGGGAAAGAACATTTAAATAGTATTCTAAGAAGGAAAATTATCTTTAGGACTGGAGGAAAGTAGGTCCAAGGTTTAAACCATGCTACAATCTAGGTAACAGGGAAACTGAGGCAGAACTGGAGCAACAGTAGAAAAAACAACAGAGCCCTTCTTTCTTTATTCTACTATCCTCACCCCTCCTGTTCCTTCCAGGCCCATCTACAGCCCCTCCCATGAGAGACCAACCCTCCCAAGAAATGCCAGAGAAAGAGGGTGTCAGAGAGGTGCATTGAGAGTGCTCTGCCTGCTGCACGCATGGCCAGGGACCAAGGACCAGGGATCCAGCTCTCCAGTAGCTCACTCAGCACATGGAGCCTCTCCTATCTCGGGACAGTAGGCTGGTGCTGGTATTGGAAGATAAAGGGCAAGAGCTTTGGTGTGAAGGAAAAGAGGTGGGTGTGAGGATAGCAGAAACATCTCCTCAGCCATGAAAAGGCAGAGCAATAACGGGGGGAATTGGTTAAGATAGAATTAGCAGATTCTATTCAAAATAGAATCTACTCGATTCTATCTAAACTAGAATTACTGAATCCCTCTTTTTAATTATCTTATTCATTTATATATCTCCAGTGTCTAAGCATCCTGAGGACTTTCACCTTATTTCATGTAGGGTATTTTTTATTTTTATTTTTCCTGAAAAGAGTTTTCTTTGGTTTTCTATTTACTTAAAACAGAGACCTTTTTTTTTTTTAAATGGAAAAGTCTTGGAAATACATATTCTCTGCTCTTGGTAAAGTGACTACACCTACGAGAAAGGGTTTTACAGCCAGCTGGTGGCAGTAGCCATACTAGGGCAGCTCTATCAGAGAAAATTATATCCTAAAGCATCAAAACTGTGATTCAGAGTCAGCAAAGCAAATGGTTTGTGACCAAGAGTATTCTAGGTATGTGTGGGGACTAGAGGAGCAAAGAGACAGTAAAATGACTTTAGATGCATCCTTAGGAAGTAGGTGGAGGGAAGTGTAGACACGCCCTTCCCCATGTGGCTCCACCTACCTTCGCAGCAGCCCTGTTTCCACTGCTCTCCATTCCCTACACTGCAGCCATGTTGAATGTCGCATGCCCTTCCTGCTGGGACAAGTGATTCTTACTCACCCCCACTCTCGATGCAATGCCCTTTTTCCTCTCCTGTCCTCCCCAAAAAACAAGTGGGCAATGCCCTTCCCAGTGTTCCCACAGTATCACATACATGCTTGTATTTTAGCATATATCACATGTAATTAGCATATATGTCTCCTTCATTAGACCATGAACCCTAAAAGGTAAGTATTACATCTCTTTCATTTGTATATCTCCAGTGTCTAGAAAATAGTAGGCATACCATCAATGTTGACTGAATGAATGAATGAGCAAATCTTGTGTTTGGAGGTGAGTAAAGCTAGACCAACAGGAGTTGAAGATTTTTATTGGGAGGAAGTAGATGATAAATTTGGCCCATGAATTGGATAAGTGCACTAAGATACCAACCATGGCCACAGTCCCCACTGGGAGTATTCTGAAATGGTTTCTTATACATTGGTGATTGTGGTGGCACCACATGACCTGCTAAATGCCTGGTCACAGCTTTTGAGATCAGAGGTAAAAACTTTTCTTATGAGGGCAGCCAATCAAGAGTCAGCCAGTGACTTCTGAGGTGTCCTGGCCTAAAAGCTGTGTCTAAATAGGGGACTGGAAATATACCGTGTCAATTGAGGTTGTTTCCCTGAGGATTTAAACTGCACAGACAGGGATCTGGATGATTGGCTGCAGAGTAGAAGTGAAATCACAGAAAGCAGAGAGGAAGAAGAAAAAGGAAGCTGTGGTATAGAAATGGTAGAACATTACACAGATTCTGGTCCTCTGCTCTCAGACGATGACCAGATGATGTGGCTGCTTGAGACACCCTTGGTCTCGGGTAACATTCCAGTTTTCATCTCCAGAGGTGACACTGCGCCACATTTCTTGTTCTTCCCATGGGGCTGAGTCACTGAGCTTTTTCTGGATTTCTGGGAGGTTCAGACACATCGCTTCTATCTTCATTATTTCCACACACGGCCATACAGTATCTTTCTCGTTCAACCTATGCCCATTTGAAACTCAAATCTTTCCTCCAAAGACAGTAACTTATATAAACTAATAAAATGGGGGTCAGACTGCAGCAGTTCTTGAATGAAAGGTTCGGAAGTATGGACATGATCTTGTGGCTAAAGGGGAAACTTTGGGTACCATAATTCATCTGGGCCTGGAAATCTAGACCTGAGAGCTCACTTGGGCTTCATGTGTCACCTAATTTATGTTTTGCCTTTCCACTTTGAATTCTAGTTACCTGCTGGAAAAGACAGGGGTTCAAAAGAGAGATTCAGTAATTCTGTTTTTCTCTCTCTCTCCCTCCCCACTCTCTCTTTTTCTCCTTTCCTTTCTTTTTTTCTTTGGTTATCGTCTTCCTCTAATCAGTGAGCCTCACTCTGAATAAATTTTTTTAAAGCCCTTTTGACTTCAGCACATTTTACAAGACTTTAAGATTTTGCCTTCTTGATAGTAATCTTATAATCTCATAATCTTCCATATTTGCCTTTCATTATTGATATTCCTTATAATTAGATAATAATAAGGAATATTGATATTCCTTATCAATTTTTTTGTAGACACAAATCTACTGAGCTCCTTGTGCAGGTGAATAGTTTTCTTGAAATACATCTTCGGATTCATTCAGCAGAGGGTTGTTAGTATACATAAAAGAACCAAAATTTTCAAAACTTTCCATCACATGTGAACTATATTCCACTTGAGAGTCTCAGAAAGACCAGGCACAATGGTTCACGTCTGTAATCCCAGCACTTTGGGAGGCAAAGGCAGGTGAATCACCTGAGGTCAGGAGTTCAAGACCAGCCTGGCCAACATGGTGAAACCCTGTCTCTACTGAAAATACAAAAGTTAGCCAGACCTGGTGGCAAGCACCTGTAATCTCAGCTACTTGGGATGCTGAGGCAGGAGAATCACTTGAACCCAGGAGGTGGAGGTTGCAGTGAGCTGAGATCACATCACTGTACTCCAGCCTGGGTGACTAAAGTGAAACTCCATCTAAAAAAAAAAAAGAGTCTCAGAAATAGAATCATGCCTATCTTTTATCTGAACTGTTTAGACTCTACCTCTCTCAGTCTAAAGTACCATCTGACAACCCCAGTGTTCTCTTTCTTTGCTATCTGAATCTCAGGAAAACATAATTTAGTTCAGCTAAGGCTCCAGTTGCTTTCATTACTGCTTAATTTTCTTTTGTCAAGATGAATTAAGTCCAGTTTATCTCATGGATTCCTTCATTTTCAGAGATGAAATTATCAGCTTAAAAAAGTATTTTCTTAACATTATTAGCCATTGGCAAATGCAAATCAAAACCCACAATGAATACCACTCCACACCCTCTAGGATGACTATATAAAAAGACACAATAACAAGTGTTGATGAGGATGTGGAGAAATCAGAACCCTCACAAATTGCTGGTGAGAGTATAAAATGGTATAGCTACTTTGAAAAACAGTTTAGCAGTTCCTCAAAAAGTTAAACATAGTAGAACTCCATATAACCCAGCCATTCCACTCCCAGGTATGCACATAAGGGAACTGAAACATACGTTCACACCAAAACTTGAATATAAAGGTTTCTAGCAGCATTATTCATAACAGCCAAAAGCTGGAAACAACCCAAATGTCCATCAACTGATGAATAGTAAACAAAAAGTGGTATATCAATGAAATGGCATGCTATTTAGCAATAAATAGGAAAAAAGGATTGATACATACTAATAGCATGGATGAATCTGAAAGCATTAGGGTAGGGGAAGTAAGCCAGTCACAGAAGATCTCATATTATACGATTCCATTTATATGAAATGCCCAAACAGGCAAACCCATAGAGACTGAAAGCAGATGAGTAGTTGCCACGGGTTAAGGAGAGTAAGGAATGCAGAGTGACTGCTAATGGGCATAGGGTTTCTTTCTAGGGTAATGAAAACGTTCTGGAACTAAACAGTGGCAATGTTTGCACAACCTTGTGAATACAGTGAAAACCATGGAATTTGTAAAAAATGAAAAACAAAATCATCTTTAAAAAGTTTTGCTTTTAGGAGAAATGGAGTTCTTCCAAATGTCATGACTAAGCTTTCCAATCACTGTGTGCCCTGACTCCTTATACATTTTGAAACCCATAATGGAAAAATACCATTTCTATTCTTTTAATGGACTGTCTATAGGCATAACACACCACGAGAATTATGTTTTCCTTTTTTCCTCATTCAAACTCTTTTTATTTCATTTTTATTCTTACATTTGTGAGCTTTTACATAGAAAGTATCTTTCTATATCCAATGTTTCTTCTACTTGGTCTGCTCCTTTGGACCAGAATATTATTAAATTTAATATACTCCGCTGCCCTATTCAACCATAAGGGCCACCGTATGTATTCTCTTGTGGCTAAAGGTCAATTTGGTTTCCATTTCAAATTCATTTTATTGGTTATAAAGAGTATAATCAAAGACAGCTGATTAGAAGAGGTTTACCTCTGGAAAGTGGGACTAGGGTGGGGCAGGAGGCTGCTGCCTCTAATCAGAAGCTCCTCAGCTGGGTTTGTTATCCTGTAGATATTCTAATATGAATAACCCTGAGATTTGGAACATGATAGTTATATCGGGAGGGACAGAGAACAAAGACAGCCAAAGTAGAAGATTCATATTAAATATAAACAAGAAGGGCTGAATCTACTCAAACTTCCTTTTTTCCTTATGTTCCTGAATGGTTGTAGCCCCCTTTGAATGTGTAAAATGTAGTCAGGTAACCTACGGAACTCAGGATGAATAGTGTGGTTCTCATCTCTAAGTATCCTGTTGGCTTATATAGGAGATAACATTGCATAGATTACTGGATAGATTACATAGATTACCATCTCTCCAGATGGTCTGTGCCAGGTAAAGGGCTTGTTTGTTTGTTTGAGACGGAGTCCAAAACACTGCACTCCAACTCTGTCGCCCAGGCTGGAGTGCAGTGGCCTGATCTCGACTAACTACAAGATCTGCCTCCAGGGTTCACGCCATTCTCCTGCCTCAGCCTCCCGAGTAGCTGGGACTACAGGTGCCCGTCACCACGCCCAGCTAATTTTTTGTATTTTTAGTAGAGATGGGGTTTCCGTGTTAGCCAGGATGGTCTTGATCTCCTGACCTCATGATCCACCCACCTTGGCCTCCCAAAGTGCTGGGATTACAGGCGTGAGCCACCGTGCCCGGCCCAGGTGAAGGGCTATACAGACAAGGGCTGTAGTGCAGGGATGAACTGGATCATATCCTGGTATGTGGGAAGGATCATAGAGGAGGAGGCTCTAGAGTGGAAAGGGCGGGGGGGGGGGGTTCCTCTTAAAAAGCAAAAACTAGAGGGAAGGGAAGGGTATTCCAGGCAGAGAAATGTATGAAAAAGGCACATAGACAAAAAAGTATAAGATGTATCTCTCAGAGGGTAAGAGAATACATCCATTCCGCTGAAGCATAAACTCTGCATAAAATAATAATTGAAGATAAAGCCGGGGAGGTAGGGTGGCACAGCTGTAGAGTTGTGGAGCATTATCCTAAAGGCATTGGAAAATCATAAAGTTCTTGATCTGGGTGGTTATGTGACCAAAGTAGCATTTTAAAGATGAACAGCAATGAAGGGCAGGGTGGATTGGAAGGAAGGAAGGAAAGGCCAAAGGCATGCAATCCCTTTAGGAAGCTACTACAGCTTAGGGTAGTAGCTATGTGAATGAAAAAGAGGAGAAATATGTGAAGACGGTTACAAAGGTAGGATGAATAAGATTGACCGAATAATTCTTCACATTTCCACTTTGATTATGGAAAGATTTTGATCCTATGAAGTTCTGGGTATCTGCTGTGATCCACCCTATGCAGATAGGAACACCAATGGATCTCATACTATTCATCCTGTTAATGGCTCATTATCGACCCTATTTGGAGAAGGGTGGATAGAGCCAAACTTGTTAATTCACAAGCCATTTTAATTTGGATTTGAACAGGGGTCTGTGCATCTGCCACCTTCTTTGTGCTGTTTGCTTTTGCTGGTACTGAAATGAGTGTCTTATCTGTGCTCACAGCTTTTCGCATTAGGCAAAAAGGCCCAAAGCTCACAAGGATGCAGGGAGATGCTCCCCAAAGTTGAGAGATCATAGGAAAAGATTCATAGAGTGGATAACCACTTCTGAAATATCAGCTCAGGAATGAGGCTAAGGGCCTAATTTTGTCACACCAAACCAGAGGAACATTCCTTATAGTGTCAGAGGGATCTCTGGATAGGATGTTTCCCACCTTGACCCCAACAAGAGCATCTCTCAACCTGGGAAGAGCGTCTGCTATGTGTGGAAGTGATGCCAAAAATGGCTCCTATGTGGCAAGGAGCCCCGTGTGAGAGATGAGGACACTACAAAGAGGAACTTGAGACAGATCAGATTTTCATTCAAACCCAAGTATCCTCAGATCAAATCCTGGCTGTGAAAACAGATGAAAATCAGGTTTCCTTCTATTATGGCATTCCCCACAATCTTGGTATGAATTGGTATGTACATCCTTGCACATTTTGCTCCCCAGAGACCCAGCCTAGCTCATGAGCAGGTTTGAGGCCAGATGGAAATAGCTCAGAAAAGGAGAAATTCACCTGTTTTGTGTACCCATATAGTCACTGGCCCTTCTAATAAGGTGAACTTCCCAAGCCACTCAAATTGCAAGAATATGTGGATATGTGCAGTGTTCACATGCACAGGCAACATTTTTACATGAATACACCCTTTTCCCTGATTTGGTCTGAAAGAATATAGCAGATTCCAGAACCTGGAGCATGAAGATGAGTATCTGGAAGCACAGTATATAGCAGTTGACTTCCTGCATACAGCTGCTCTACCCAGCAGCTGCAATTCTTTGGGTATTCAGGTTTCTAGAGACAATCCTTTAGGACATTTACATACTTTCCCCCTTGCCACTGCAGCCAGGTATTTTTGCTTACAGGAGCTGTCTTTGCTTCCATAATGTGAAATTGGCCAGAATGGAGAGTTCTGGGTGGATTTGGGGAAGGGTCTGGGATGTTTCCTACCTTGGCAGGCACCCTGAATTCCCCATATTCTTTCAGCAGTTCCTGAGTCTCCTCTGTGGTCTCTCCAGTGGAGGTATGTGTTGAGAGGTAAAATTCACCTGTTTCTTGGATCCAGTCAAGCGCCTATGGGAGGAAACAACCCATCCAGTCCCCCAAAAGGCAGCTGTCAGTAGAAGACATGCCATATTACAACGAAGGTTATTGTTGGGACAACTTAATGGACCCAGGAAACACTGACACAATTTGATTGGTATGTAGCTCTTGAGTTGTTTTTTATGAATGAGCCCTCCCCTGATTTGGAACACTTACCAGCAAAGAGAGGGTCTCCCCCAGTACACCGGGGACTCTTCTAGGCCAGGCCCAATATCATCCATGAATTAGGGGCATAGTGGGTGACCTAGCATTTCCTCATATCTCCTGTTACCAAACTCAAAGCAGAGAGCTTGGTAAATGCTGAATTGCTGACAAGTGACACCCTGCTTTCTTTCCTCTTTATTCCCCACTCCCATCCCCAATTTGCTGCTGTGGCCCTCTTCTGGACTAACCCTTGGTATTGGGCCTCTGCATGCTCCCCAGAACTGAGATAGAGCCAGGGAAAGCTTTGGACAACCTGCTTAGCGCTGCGCTCGAACACCACATATTGCTGGCACTGGTCTAACCGCCGCTTCTTCAAGGTCCAGAAATGCAGCACGCGATTCTCCCTCTGCAGGAGCTCACTCAGGATGGCTGTGGGCAGAGGAGATACATATGATGGGCACAATCCAACCAACCCCTTCAGCCCCATGGCAGGTGCCAGGTGACCATGACTGTAATTTCAAGCATCCCCGCGAGACTAATCCAGCATCAGAAGAAAGGGAGCAAAAGCTGGATACAGAAAGGATTTCCTAGAAAGGAGCAAGGTCGAGGAGTCTAGGGGGAGAGCCCATTGATGAGAGTTCCATCAACTAAGGTGGCAAGAATATAACACCAGTGACTTACAAATGACCCCGATTCTCTTTATAGCAAAATTAGTCCTTGGTTCTAAGAAATCCTAGGAAGCAACTAATTCAATTGGCCCCAAGAGTCCAATGAGCATGGGTGGACCTTGACAGGAATCTCAGTCATTCTTAAGGACTCATTAGAAGAGAGGCAGGAGATTTATAGTGCAATGAGGGCTGGTGTCACCGGCTTGACAACCCACATCATGAACCATGTTCTTGGACCTGCACAAGAGGTTGTGCACACAGCACTTTAACGGCATAGCCTCGATTTAAACACTTCTAAATAGTGGGCACAGGGATGCTGTGTTGGAATTATGTCTTCATGTTGTCTCTGGGCCCATGTTGTTTTGGATGTGATCATAGGAAAAGCTGAAAGTGATGTTAAATGAGAGTGTCTACACAAGGCATATAGCACAGCAAGTGGGCCATGGTTAGGTATTTAGTCCATGCTATTTCCCTAAGTTTTCTGTTGTTTCAGGAGTAGCTGGGTATGTGGATAGATGTCTTAAGTGTTTTAAATAGTATGTTATGCTGGAAGCAATAAAATTTATTTTATGTCTTCCTCCTGCTTCCTGTTGCCATATTAGATATTAACAAAATATATAATAATAACCATGTGAATAATATTTATCACATACTCAGTATGTGGAAGACACTCATTTTCATAATACCCCACAATGCATGCACCATTATTATCTCCATTATACAGATGAGAAAACTGAGGTTTAGAGAAAGCTTTTGAGAAAGCGTAGGGAGGGTAACTAGCTCAGGGTTGTTCAGATAGGAAAGGGCAGAGTTCAGATTCAGGCCAGATCTGACTTCAGAGCCTGAGTTGTTAGTCACCTTGGTCTCTCACATTACTGGGACTATAAAGTACAAGTTTCTGTGCTTTTTGAAGATGGCACAGCCTGAAGTATAGTGCTTGCACTGAGAAGTTTTTGTTGATTTTATGTACTTTTCATACCCCTTCATTCTCACCTCTCCAGCCAAGTATAGCTTTCTGAGGATAGGATGTGTTTTTCATCTTTTAGGCTAAGTGCTTTTTTTTTTTTTTTTTGAGACAGGGTCTGGCTCTGTCACCCAAGATGGAGTGCAGTCATAGCTCACTGCAGCGTCAACCTCCCGGGCTCAAGTGATCCTCCCACCTCAGCCACCTGAGTAGCTGAGACTATAGGCACATGCCACCACATCCAGCCAATTTGTAAACTTTTTTTTTTGTAGAGACCAGGGTCTCACTATGTTGCCCAGGCTGGTCTCAAACTCCTGAGCTCAAGTGATCCTCCTGCCTCTGTCTCAGTCTCCCAAAGTGCTAGGATTACAGGTGTGAGCCAGTGTGCCCAACCTTTTATGGGTCCAATCATTCACCCTTCCCTGTATCTAAGCCTTTATCATGTAACTTTCATTCCTTCCCAAAGAGGCAAGTACAGTTTCTCACTCCCCAACTGATGTTGGCCACATAGCTTGGCCACATAGCTTGCTCTGGCAAATGAGTTGTTAACAGATAAAACAGAAGCAGGGCCTTGAAACGTACTTGTAGACTTGACTTTGCTCCTTGTACCTCTGCTATCACCACTATAGGAACTTCTCCTGGGTAACTGCTGCCCCTTCAACCCAGGTCCCAGAATGAATACACGTGGAGCAAACAAGACCTTACCTGGAGTGAAGGAGCCAAGCTAGCCAGACTTGCAGTCTGAAGCACAACCACACTGCTGAGCCCAGCTGAGATGCTGCTCCCCAGCCAATGCACAGCCACTTGAACAACATATGCTTACAGTGGATATCATTGAATTTTTTGTTTGTTATGCAGCCATATAACAACCAGCAGCATAAAAAAGCCAAAACTATGTGGCACTGGTGTTGAGTCTAGGTAGTAAGTGAAAAGGAAACTGATAGATAAGGGATTGTAGGTCCCTCAGGTGGAAGCTTCAATTGGGGAAGGAAGAAGTGGAAACCCATTTCTTTTAGTCTTTATGTTCCCTAGCCAGAGTTTTGCTCACTGAAGCTCCCTCTACGGTGTGGCTAAGAGAATCAACCCAGATCAGGCAGAAATCATAAAGTGTTTCAGGATTATTTTCCCCCCTCTTCTTGAAAGCTTTCACATGGGCAACAACCTGGTCTTGCCTCCAAGAAGATGTAGGCATTTCTCACTGTCTCTGGGTGCCTGTTACTCTTCAGCACGCAGAGGTGTAGGTGGGATATGTGGTCTCTCAGTAGGCAGCTGGCCTCACCCAATCTCCCATCTACATTTGGAAGCCAGAACAGATGCTTTCAAATGTGCCAGAAGAAGTGACATAATACCAGCTCCCCACAGGTCCCCTGACCACAAATAGATTAGCACATTTGGAAGAGAAACTCTGCTCCCTCCTCTCTGTAGGGAACTTTGATTCCTAGATTTAATTCTGTCCAGTGGCCTCTGTTCTCTCCAACTCTTGAGCAATCTGAGCAAAGAGGGAAGCCTTTCTTAAGCAGACCACGCATCCTACCCTGTCCATGATGTCTCCAAGCCCATATCACTCCTCACTCCAAGTCAGCTTGGGTTCCCTCCCTAGCCTCGGGCTCCAGAGTTATATTTCTGTGCCTTGGCAAGATGACATTTGTTAAACTCTTCACTCACTCAAAGGCTAATTTCTGCATGGTCAGAATAATTCCACAGATAATGATTTAAGTTTCACATGGTCAGATAATAGGTAATTTTAAAAAGTTATGTATTTATTATCATAGACTTTCTAGAATTCAGAGAGATATTAAAGATGATGTGGAATAGCACTTACCTAAATTTTATGAACACATAAATCACCTGGTTGGTAGAATTGGGCAGTTCTTGCCAACATGCAGGTTCTTTGTGCTTTTTTTCTCTTTTTTTTTTCTTTTTTATTTGAGACAGTGTCTCACTCTAATTGCCCAGGCTGGAGTACAACGGTGCAAATGTGGTTCACTGCAGCCTCCAGCTCCTGGGCTCAAACGATCCTTTCATCTCAGCCTCCTGAGTAACTACAGCTATAGGCATGCCACCATACCAGGCAAATTTTTTAACTTTTTGTAGAGACGGGGTCTCACTATGTTGCCCAGGATGGTCTTGAACTCCTGGCCTCAAGCAATCCTCCCATCTCAACCTCCCAAAGTGCCAAAATGCAGTTTCTGACTCAGTCGGTTTGGGTGTGGCCTGAGATTCTATATTTCTTACACTCTCCCCCAGGGATGTCAATGTGGCTGGTCTGGGAACTACAATTTGAGTAGCAAGAGTCTAGATGCTCCCATCATTTTAAATAAGAAACTAAAGTTTTAAAAGGCTTAATCAATCAGTGACAAATCCAGGGTCAGCATTTGGTCTTAGGATTCTCAGTCCACATTCTGTTCCTAGGCTGTAAGACACCCTAGTCTTGTTCTGTTCAATATATTAACTAGGAGCCACATACAGTAATCTACATTTAAATTACTTAATATTAAACAAAAGTTAAAATTTAGTTCCTCAGTTGCACTAGGCACATTTCAAGCACTCAATAGCTGCTGTATTGCACAGCGTAGATACAGGCAATTTCCATTATTTCAGAAAATTCCACTAGGCAGTGCTGTCCAGACTCTAAGATAAATGAAAATACTTGGGGAAATTTTATCCTTGTTTTTGCCTTCCAGATCTTGAAGCATGTTTAAAAATTAACCATGAATCATTACTGCCCACACCATCCCACATCATACATTTTCATTTCCAAGGAGAAGCAGCAGGAAATTTGAGACTGTGTGAAAACTGGGTACATGGTATATTTCAGGGAGGGGCATTCGCTGAAGTGACCGGTGGCTGGGCAGGTCTCTCACTGACCTTTCACTTGTTGCTCGGGTCCCCGAGTGTGGCTGGCGACACTGGGCATGCTGACGTTGTTCCTGTGGATGTACTTGAGAAACACCTCAGCATTCCGCCGAGCTAGGGTGCATGCCTGAGAAAGACAAAGTCGTGAGGCCCCTGTCCCAGCAGGTGTATGGAATCCAAGACAACGGAGAAGGCATACACACCTTCCTTGTACATTTTCTTTTTTTTTTTTTTTTTGAGACACAGTCTCACTCTGTTGCCTAGGCTGCAGTGCAGTGGCGTGAGCATAGCTCACTGCAGCCTCCACCTCCCAGGCTCAAGCGGTCCTTCCATCTCAGCCTCCTGAGTAACTGGGACTACAGGGACCCACCACCACACCTAGCTAATTTTGTGCATTTTTTGTAAAGACGAGGTCTCACTATGTTGCCCAGGCTGGTCTCAAACTACTGGGCTCAAGCAATCTGCCCACCTTGGCCTCCCAAAGTGCTGGGATTACCGGCATGAGCCACGACACCTGGCTCCTCCTTGTACTTTTTAGGAAGCTCAAGAACTCTGAAGGAATCTAGAAGAAGCAGAGCCCTGGAAGTTATCACTGGTTCATGGATACTCCAATTCCAATTTATGGAGATCACCCTTCTGAGCTTTTCTTTTGTCAAGTGAAGAATTACTCCTTTCTGTCTCTGTCCATTCCATCTCAGATAAAAATCAGAAATCAGCCACCCTTTGTCTCCTTCTATGTTGACCAGGCATTACTAATATTCACTCTCGGCCTACTTTTCCTCAGCCACCAGAATGCCTCTTACACGACCACTGGTGTAAGCTCAGGAAACATAAACCCACTTGAAAATCAGTGTGACTTAGACTTGAGCAAGTAAATTTGGTAAACACATCTATTAACCCTACATTCCAAATCTAAATGGAAATTACCGACATTTTTCAGACTTATTTGCCCATCAAGTCCCCCTCATCTAAATATCACGAATAAGCATTCTATTGTTGAAGAATGCCAGTCTACATAAAGGACTAACAGCTGTTATATTACCTACTCCCCTTATGACTCATATTAGCTGTGGGTGGCACACAGAGGGCTGGTCACATTCTCCTTGGTATGCTGATGGACAAGACTGGAGCCCGGAAAGGGCAGGAGCCAGGAAGCTACTCAGATCTAGGATCTAGGACGACTGACAGTATTTCCTGTTCCTCTCAAGCCTAGTATTTTCTGGATTTCTCTATAAAACCCCCAAAAAAGCAGGTTTTTTTTCTGGTTGTAAAGTAATAAATACTAGCATACTAATTTTTAATCCATAGTTTTCAGAATTAAATGATCTCTAGTAAAACTGTGAAATTTTATTTCATTTTTCTTTGAAATTTTATTTTTTTTTTCTTCTACACACCCTGAAATGTAAAATTTCAGAATCTTATACTTTCCTTCTGATCCTACAATATAATTAAAAATTATTATATAATTAATAGAAACAATTATAAAATTTTATAATTTTCTGGTTATATAAAAAAATTAGCAACAAAGGTATCTGGGATATCTGGTACACAAACACCTGCTGGTGAGTCCATGAACACAGAGGCTCCTGAATGAAAAAGCTTGATGGTGGTCTCAGCTTAAGGAGTTTCAAACGGATCAACTAATGAATACAAATAAAGAGCTCAATATTCTATCTACTGGGCATATAATTCCCACAGTGATAGGGAGCTTCTCACTGTGGTTTTAGGGACATATGGAAAACATCAGACCAGAGGGTTTTCTATTTCTTTCTTCAACAGAAATATTTTCTTTTAATTTTATGAAGAAATATCTTTATACTTCTGTTTGAGATTTTTATATGCTCTACTTAAATTGTTCCATTTTAAACTTTGCTTTGCAATAGGGAAAACTTTAAAAAATCACCATAAGCTCCGCACAGAAGAATTTCTATCTAGTCTTATTAGTAAGAGTTGATTACTAAAGGTTCTGACCCATATAGGTGCAGATACAAGATAGATAGGCGGAGGGAAGGGAGAAGCCAGCTTAAAAAAAATAAAAATTAAGCTCAAGGTGGTCAAGTAGAGAAAATCCCTAATAAATGAAAGGCAGGTAATTACAGAATTGAATAAAATCAATGGTAACATGTCAGGGTATAAAAATTCTCTCTTCTATTCCCAGAAACCTGAGAGGAAGCAGAACATGAAAGCAAGAAATCTGAGAGCAAACGGAGCCTTCAGATGAGCTTGAACACAGAAGAGAGGAGATCAGAGGAGATCAAAGACTGGGGAAGGAGGCTCACAAGGACTTCCCACACCAGCTGACAGTCTGTGCACAGCTGGCCTGTGCTTCCTCCCTCGGAAGGCAGGGCTCTAGCAGAATACTTGGAATAAGGCATTTCTCTCTTAATATAGAAGAATGAACAGTGTCGTGTGTTGGTGATTGGTAATTGTTAGATTGATAAATAAATAGGGCATCCAAATTCATTTCTTTAATTCTTACCCTAATTTTTGCATCTTCCATTTATAAAATATTTTAATCATGTTTTATATCTAAGCTTATATCTTTTTGATATTACTATCAAAAATAATTTAATTAGCCAAACATAACTGAATGAAAGCATGTCTTTTTCTCAGTTAACAACATCCATGGGATATTGGGATATCTGAAGATTGCAGTAGTAGTAACAGTGTATCCCGATAGCCTAACTATACAAAAAGTGCCAAGAGAGAAATAAATGTTGGAAATGTAACCTTTCACCTTTGAAATTAGCCAGTCAACATCTTCATTATACTCCCTTACACCTTTAGGGAAGAGGTTAGAAAAAAAGAGGGAATAGGAAGCATGTTTGAAGCTGTGCATGTGTCTGTGGGTGTGTGTGCGCGTGTGTGCATGTGTGTGTGTGTGAGAGAGAGAGAGAGAGAGACAGACAGGAGGAGGAGGAGGAGAACAAAGAAAGAGAGAAAGAAAGAAAGAAAGAAGGAAAGGAAAGGAAAGGAAAGGAAAGGAAAGGAAAGGAAAGGAAAGGAAAGGAAAGGAAAGGAAAGGAGAAAGAAAGAAAAGAAAGGGAAAGAAAGAGAGAAAGAGAGAGGGAGGGAGGGGGGGAGGGAGGAAGGAAGGGAAGGAAGGGAAGGAAGGCAAGGAAGGCAAGAAAAGAAAGGAAGGAAAGAAAAGAAAGAAGGAAAGAAAGAAAGGAGAAAAAGAGAAAGAGAAAGAGGATAAAAGAACAAGGCCAAGGCCAGGAGTCTGAGCCCTTGCATGACAATGTGCTCTGACCTTAAGAAAGGCCTCCTTTTGTTCCAAATGTTTGCTGATGAGTGGAATGACATGGTCGATCTCTGCCGCTGGCCCCAGCTTATCTCGTCCACCACACCAGTCCTCATCTCTCCGGTATTCTTGCTCTAAGCTCTCCAGGACACTACATACCTAGTGAACCATGGAAGAAAAGACTCAGTAAATTAATTATTCCGGAAGTATTCTCTGAGGACCTTCAGCCTATAGAAGCCTACACATAGGACATTTTTCATTAGAAGTTTAATGCCTCTGAGACATCTAAGAGAAATCCAGGAGGCAGTGACAGTCTTGTGTCTGAAACCTGGGAGACATTATGACTGGAGATATGGATTTTGGAATCATCTTTTTATGGGAGTTGATGACATTAACTAAGAATAGTAGGTAAAGTAAGAAAGTAAGACAGTCTGGTATCTTTGGAGTTTCAGTGTTTTTACATATTGTTATAATCTCACAATAACTATAAATTAGGTAGAACAGGAAACGAGGTTTGGAGAAGATAACTTGATTTATCCGACCATCTGTAGTTGTCCCATAGTAAGCAGCCTCAAGCAGAGACAAAGGAGGAAGTTGCCTATGTTGTATGGTTTACGGGCCATAAATGAATGTCATCTTTTTCCTCCCCTGGAGAAAAATGTCTCAAAAATCCAACCATAATACATGACATCTCCAGGATCTCTATTACAAAATACACATTTCCTGTAGAGGGGTAACAAATTTGGGTTAACCTAAAAGACAGTTAAGAAGGTTTTTAGTTCTAAAGATGCTGAGAGGCCATGCTAAGTGACCTTATAAATGAACTCAGAAGAGAGCAAAAGCATTTTGAAGTAGGTTTGGAGGGAAATTCAGCCTGGGTCTCACAGTGGAAAACTCAAGGCAGCCTAGTATCAGGGCCTGGAGGATGATGCAGAAAATTGAAACTCATATTCCATACAGACATCCATCCATATCTGTGGGTTCTACATCCATGATTCAACCAACTATGGATTGAAAATACTTAGTTAAAACGTACAGCAATAAAAAATCATACAAATAAAAACAATAGAGTACAACAACTATTTACTATAATACTTACGTATTATAAGTAATCCAGAGATGATCTAAATTACATGGGAGAATGTATATAGGTTACACGCAAGTACTATGCCATTTTATATCAGGAACGTAAACATCTGAAAAGTCTGGTATCTGTGAGGGGTCCTGAAACAAATACCCCACGGATACTGGATTTCCTTCAATAGACCTTGGGATGACTGGATTTCCTTCAATAGACTTCGATTACTTGTTCGGATATGGCAGCAGGGAAGAACAGCTATGACTATCCTTGGCCTTCTCTGAGAAAGTCTTTTGATGAAAGATGTCTTTTTTTTTTTTCTTTTGAGATGGAGTCTAGGTTTTTCACCTAGGCTAGAGTGCAGTGGTGCAATCTCGGCTCAATGCAACCTCTGCCTAAGTGATTCTCCTGCCTCAGGCTCCCGAGTAGCTGGGATTACAGGTGCCCACCACCATATCCAGCTAATTTTTGTATTTTTAGTAGAGATGGGGTTTCACCATGTTGGTCAGGCTGGTCTTGAACTCCTGACCTCAAGTGATCCACCTGCCTTGGCCTCCCAAAGTACCGGGATTACAGGCGTGAGCCTCCGCGCCCAGCCAGATGAAAGATGTCTTTGGATAGGGCATTCATTGAGTTATGAACTGAGCTGAAAGATGTGCTGAAAGCTGTCCCAGGAAGAACACCCTCATAGCCAGACACGCTTCTCGCGTCATGAGAAGATCTGTCACCGAACTCAAGGTGACTTCTCTAGTCCCATCTCTAGCATCACGTCTTTCTTTCTGAAAGGCCTGAAACGTGCAGGCAGCTCGTGTTTTGAGATAAAACAGCTTATAGACATGCAAAAACTTTAAGAAAAAGGGTACTTAAGATCTGTCCCATGATAGGACTGAACTTAGGAGCAAACAATTTGGGAGTTGGAAGAAATGAAAAGATTATTAGGTATAAATACTTTAACAAGAGAGGAAACAGAAATCCAGAGGGGTAAAGTAACCTTTGGCAAAGTCACTTCAGGGTAAAATTTCTTGACTCCTATTCCAGTGCCCTTCACCATCTTGGTCCATTTCAAATTAAAATTTGTGTAAAATATTAGACAGGAATTAAGCCTCATTTGTTTCCATACGGATATTCAGTTGTCCAGCATCCTTTGCTGAAAAGACTTTCCTTCACTCATTGAATTTTTTTGTCAAAAATCAACTGACTGTATATATGTGGATCTATTTCTATCACCACTATTCTGTCTCATTGTGTTTATTCTTATTCCAAATACCATTCTGTCTTGATCCCTGCTGCTTTAGAATAAGTCCTTAAATCAGGCAGTGTGACTTGTCCAACTTTGTTCTTCCTTTCAAAATTGTTTTGGCTGTTCTAGTTTCTTTGCATCTGTATTCTTTGCATTTTCATTTTATTTCCATATAAATCTTAGAATCAATGTATCAATTTCTACCAAAAAAAAGCTTGCTGGGATTTGACTGAGACTGTGTTGAATCTATGGATCAACTGGGGATGCTCTTTATCATCTTAGTCTGCAGCTCCTCACTTCTGTGGCCATCAAAGGAGTCATCCCTCTGAAGCAACAGAAAGGACTGAGAGAAGGGATGGAGACTCTAACCCTGGCTGCAGGGCCCTCTGATGCACATGTCACATTTTCTCCAAGGGAGACTTTCCGATGGTCCCTGTAAGTCACCCAAGGAGGATGATTCTCTGATTTATTTCTACCAGGGAACAATTCAGAGAAAGAAACTACTATACATTGAATAAAATTACTCCTGTTTTAAACCTGTTTCATAAAAATAATTCCCTAACAGCACCCAAGTCATTTTAAAAATCCTCTTAGCCCTGTGCATATTGCTGTACAGATGAAAGGGTAACACACTGCATCTTTATGGCCCTGCTGCCCAGCTCCTGCCTTTTCTCCCACAGCAGCATTATCTTATCCGGTGCATTCCTAGTTCCCCAGTGTCAGAGAGCTGTGTTTCCTCCATTAGACTGGAGGCCCCAGGAATGAAAGAACCATGTGTTTTTCAAGCAGTGCATAATGCCTAACTGTGGTAGATTTAATTATTGTTCAGCCACTATTCATTCTCCTCTCCTAACCTTCATAGGAGGCATTGCTGCCTCACTGACGTTGGCTTGGCCATGTGACTTATTTTAGCCAATGAGATGAAAGAGAATATGACACAAGCAAAGACTTGAAATGCACTTATATGGTAGATTTTGGACTCTTGTATTCCTGCCTTTAACTATAAATGTGCCTGAGATGGCTTCAGGTCAAGGAGGACAAGAGACATGGGAACAGATCTAGACCCAGTCTGCATCTCAAAGCCTAGTTCTACCAAGTTCAGCCAAGATCAACTGAACCCCAGACACTTAAGCAAAAAAAATAAATGTTTATTATTTTATATCACTGAGTTTTGGGGTGTTTTGTTACACAGCACTATGGTGGTAACAGCTGACTAATATATTGTCCAAATCTAGCCTTTAGTATACACCCAACTTCTATTTCAACACCTCCCTATAGATCTGGTAAGTTTGAGAAATTTATGAGAAACAAACCCCATGGTCCAGTGCTCAAATGGCAAGGATGATAAGGAAGCCAACTGTGGTGTTTCCACAAATTATTCTTCAAATGTTAGTACGGAGAGGACTGGCTTTTCGCTGACGTTAAGTACTGCACATTAACACTGCAAGGCAGAAAATAGTCCTCTGTCAATCTCAGCCCCACAAGCCCCACAGTCCTTTCCCTCACCTGTTCAGAAGTTTTGTAAAAGGCCACAGAGGCATTGACCAGTTTTAGCCGGTCTTCCATCTTCAGCATGAGCTGCTGCCAGTGGAGGGCCACCTTCTCAGCACATTCCCGGATGGCATCGGCATCGTAGTGGCCGGCCTGGAGCAGCACCTCGGCTTTCTGCTGTACCTGCAGGGCACTCTGGTGCGTCTTCTGCAAGGAAGTGGCATGAAAGAGGGACTGGGCACAAGGAGAGGAGAGAAAGGTCCGTGGGAACAACCCAGGCGTGGTATGGGAGGGGGTGGAGTGAGGCGTGAGTGAAAAGATGCAGAGAAGTTAAAGAGCTTTAAATGACTGATCCATTTTGTCATGACCATTAATACATTATTATTTTTAAAGCATATTTTAAAAAAGAATATCATACATTTTTATTAGCTAATCTCTCACGACCCTAAATTCTGTCCCCATTTCTTTCTTTTTCCTTGCAGCACTCTAGATTTTAAGGACATTTCAGTTTCTATAGAAGGGAAACAGAAGTTGTGTATCAATCTGCTCCCTAACTGGTTCATAAATTTCCTTCGCATATAGAATAATAAAATTGTACATTGAGTTTTCAAAGGAGGTTACTACTGCAGTCCCATTTTACAGATCAAGTACAGACAGCACATGAAAAGAAACTTCATGTAATACAAATCTCAGCTAACAATGCAATCATTTAAAACATTAATAATCAGTTGAAAAAGATTCCATTTGAAGGAATAAATTTGGAAGGTTAACAAAGCTAGAGAATAATCTCCTACATCATCCCTTAATTACTTCACCAGGGGGCACAACAGTCCAGGAGATAATTCACCTCAATACATAATCCCCCTGTTATTTACATATCCCTTCAGGAGATACATATATATGTAGAAGGTCTATTTTCTTTCTTTTTTCTTTTCTTTTTTTTTTTTTTTGAGATAGGGTCTTGATCTGTCACCCAGGCTGAACAGTGCAGTGCAATGATGCAATCATGGCTTGCTGCAGCCTTGAACTGGGCTCAAGCAATCCTCTTGCCTCAGGCCCCAAAGTAGCTGGATAGCTGGGACGACAGGTGTGTGCCATCACACTTGGTTAATTTTTCACTTTTTGTAAAAATGGGATCTTGCTGTCTTGCCCAGGCTGGTCTCAAACTCCTAGCTTCAAATGATCCTCTGGCCTCAGCCTCCCAAAGTGCTGGGATTACAGGCAAGAACCACCACACCTGGCCAGAAGGTCTATTTTTTTTTTAATCCTTTCTGATTTAGGCTAAATGTGCTATGTGTTATCTGAGTTTATATTAACTGTAGAAGGTGAGGAGAACTAGGGTGGCCGGGAAAGAACCAAATGGGATTAAGATTTACTAAGACAAAATACGGATGTGGATGATCTATAAGAGAATGTTAGAGCCCCACTGACTTGACAGAGCTAATATCATCCCAACCTCAACTGCTGGGATTGTTCCAGACTGATGGAGTAGTACTAATTTGGTCTTTGCACTTTGAGGAAATAATAGTTCAGCTGGCAGTGAAAAAGAACAGCTAGAACTCAGTAACTTACTCCAGAATTATTTTCTTCTTGGGCAGCAATTCTAGACAGTTCCCAAGAGCTAATCCACTCTGCACTCCCTGTGTCTGAGTAGAGCCTTACTTGTTTTCACCTATACCTCTCCCTGATTCCCACCATGATGGCCCTTCACCCTCATTCCAGATTGCAGTCTACACATTCTCATTTATCTTCTCCAGTCTATCCCCCACCTCTGGCTTCTCTTCACCCTCTCCTGAATCTGTACTCAGAGTTAGCAATGCTAGCATGACCTCCTTAGCAACCTAGACTCCCTCATTCCCTGCCTTGCCACCGAGTCAGCCCTCGATCCGATCCTGATGACCACATCAGCATTTGGGTTCCTAATTGCTTAACGAAGCTAGAGAAAGTAAGCTAGTGGGTGGAAACAATCCACTACAAATCCCTGGTTTTCTTCCTTTGTCTTGCTTAAAGGCACCATTTTCTTTTCCTGTCTCCTAAATGTAGAGGTACCAAGGTCAGCTCTTCCCCCACCCCCACCCCCACCCCTGCCCCGCTGCTGCAGCGCTCTCATCTCTTCCCTTGGTTTCTATTGTTTTCTCTCTGCAGATGACTCCCCAGTCTATGTCTCTTGTCTGACATCTGACTCTTCTTCAGTTGCCTTCAGACGCAAGGGTGAGTTGCCTGCACAGGTCTCACCCTAGTTAGGAGCAGCACTGATTCAGTTGATCTAGCTGTCTGTCCTATGTCAGCCTGCCAGAAAGATGCATTCAGTAAAAGTGATCTTCCTGGAGAGAGGAGAGGCCCTCGCCAGTGAATGGGAAAGGCTTTCCTGCTCTATTAGAGCCTCTACCTCTCCTAGACAGCTTCTCAACTTCCACAGCTGAAACTAAACTCCTCTTATCTTTAAAACAGTTTTCTTATGGTAATCTGCCACTTCTGTTGGCACTCTCCTTCTCTCTCCTCCTAGGATTACAATCTTGACATCATTCTTGCTTGCCGTTCCCCTCTCCCTAGTCCCAGCCCTGCCCTCACCACTTTACACACAGACTGTTGTGGTGATGACCTAATGAGTCTTCTTGCCTTCCATTTCTAATTCATAAAATTCATCCTTTACATTTTTAACAGATTCCTTTAATTCTCTGTAATGGGAAGTATTAGCATTATAAGACTTCTAACATCTTTTCCAGCTCTAAAACTCTCATTTTATGTCATAAATGCCACTACCTTCTCTCAATTCAAGCCTTCAGTGGTCTTCCCATTGCTTTGAAATTAAGTCCAAACTTTGGAGGCTGTCATTAAAAGGCCCTCATTACAACATGGTCCCAAACTACTTCCATAACATGATCACGAATTACTTCCTTACAAAAACCCTTTGAAAACACACCACGTACTTTCTTGCTTTTGCTGCCTTCATTCTTCCTGCCTTTTATGGCTGTCCAAATCTCTCCCCATACATGTTCCAGCTTCCCTTTGAGACTCAGCTAAAGTCTACCCTCCTTGGATGAGGCCTTTTCAGATAGCCAGAGACTCACTGTAAACCACCCTCTTCTGAACTTCTATGTCACTCATCTAACACTTGGCTGATTCTCCTTACTTAGACTGTGACACTCTCAAGGCAAGGATGGTTTGAAAAATCATAAGCACTGTGCTTATGCATATATTTTCTAGTTCTCTCAACATGACTACGAGGTGGATATTATTACTCCCAATTCACAGATTAAGAAACTGAGGCTCAGCTGGCTAAGTGACTTGACCAAAAATGTACAACCCAAAGAAGTAATGAAACCAGAATTAAGACTCATATTTGACCTATTCCCAAACCTGTGTTCTTTCTACTATAGCTCATCATATCATTTCATCTCTAGCAATTAGAACAGTATCTATAGTATCTCATTTGGAGGAAGGGTTCACCAAATGAACATTAACAATTATGATAATTATCTGGCCTCTTTTCAATATCTAAAATGAGCATAGAATTGTTATCATAAAACAGTTATATATTTTTCTCTGACAGTGGAGGAGTAACCTTGATTTTCCCACAATATATGGAAATATATATTATATATAATATATATACAAATGTTCTTTCTTACTTTGAAATTCATTATCATGTAATAGTCCTGGGAGTACCTTTCCCCTTTAATTTCCTAAATGATAAACTCTTATCCATATAACATAATCTTTGCCTTGCTGAGCTTAAGTAATTATTTTGCACTTATTTCTACTCCCCATTATCTAATCCTGTTGAGTGCTATATCCTTAAGACATGGATTATCAAGGACATTAATATTTAGTAGGAGTACACAGAAGAGAATGGAACTGAATCAACTGAATTTATTATCCAGTTTTAGCTACTTCTTCTGACATAATGCTTATTCTTAAAATGCATAAGAGGATTTCAAAGAACAATAGATTTTGAAGTTCACAGTTCAAGAAGATTAATCAGCCACATCTTAGATACTAACAAATAATATTCTGGGTTTGACAAAGCTAAATTTCTTTCAAATGCTCTGTACTGCTTTCCATCCTGAATGGCTCTGGGAAAGACTTCTTGAAACCGAGGCCACTTCAGGTAAAAATCCTGACCTTCCTTAGAAAGACCAAAACCTTCAATCTAATGAGGTCACCCAAGATATTATAAGTTAGCAAACATCATAGTTTGCCCATGACAGTTCCAGTATATGCCTATTTTTCTGGCTTAGTTATTAATAATTCCCTTCTTCACCTTTAAAGGATATCATTTAAACAATAAATTATATGCATCCTATTTACTACTTTTTTATTTTCCCTGATGGAACCCAGGGTTCTTTCTTAGGGTTCAAGAAAGAAGTCAAATTATGCTCCCCACCAATAATCATTGTAAAGGCCTCTAGTAACACTGTCAAAGTGGGTTAAGCCAAACCCAACTGCTTTCACTCCCTTTGAAACAGCTTATCTTCCCTGGCATATTTTCCTTCTGATGGAGAGCCTAGTCTGAACTGACACATTTAAGGAGAAATGCAGGCCACCTGGAGAAGGAGCATATGTTGCAATTCTGGTTCTGTTCCCTTCATTGTTCTAGGCAATGCAGACTCTCCCTACCTTTCATTCCCAATATCTTCTAGAAATCCTAATTGCTCTGCCATGCCCTCTCGAGACTAAGTGGCCTATATCTCAACATCAATTCCAAGAATATTTGATCAAGTTGTATCCAGAGAGAAACCCAGAACTGATTAAGAGGTGTTTATGCTTAGTGAGCCTCTATTCTGTAAAGATGAAATGGTGTCTAACACAAATGAATACATACTGCATATGCAGTCATGTGGAATATAGTCATTTCAAGCACTGTGAATACATTTACCCATGCTTCCTCAAAAGCTCATTGAGATGCTTAAGTGTGTTATGACATTTGGTCTTACTTGCCCACCATTTGATTTAGGCAAACCTTCTCACCAAAGATAAATAAAGAGGAGGTATGGCCAAGAGCTGTCTTCATTCTGCCCAGCATGCCTCATAACTGTGCTATACCTCTAGTCTGATCACTCAGCCTTCATTTTCTTCGTTGCTGCTATGACTGTGGGAACTTGACTGCTGTGTGTCCAATTCTTTTTTTGTTTTTGAGACAGGGTCTCACTCTGTCACCGAGGCTGGAGTGCAGTGGTACAATCTCAGTTCACTGCGACCTCCACCTCCTGGGTTCAAGCAATTATCCTGCCTCAGCCTCCCGAGTAGCTGGGATTACAAGCACCCACCACCATGCCTGGCTACTTTATTTTTGTATTTTTAGTAGAGATGGGGTTTCACCATTTGGCCAGGCTGGTCTTGAACTCCTGACCTCAAGCTGTCTGCCCATCTTGGCCTCCCAAATTGCTGGGATTACACACGTGAACCACCATGCCTGGTCCTGTTTCTTGATTATAACCCCAATCCTGATTTTTTCTTTATAGTGAATATATCCTAACACTGTGATATTTCGGTGTGTCAGAAAGCTACAATAGAGACAGCTGATGGTAATAAAACTTATTTCCTCTGGTTAATTCTGCCTTAGAAAATGATTTGCTGATGCAGTGTGTGCAATATGAAGTTTGTTTTTAAATCTCAAATCCCAGACAGTTCTTCTAGTACTAGTAATGGTTCCTAAGAAAATATCATGCATCTTAACACTGTTTATACATCCACGATGGTTTCCGGGAAATTAAATGGTTGCAATCAATCAACACTAGCTTAAAAATGGCGAGCAATCAGTTGGATTACTGCATAAAAAGACACAGGCAATTAAAATTTTATTATTTTGCCATCATTGCTGTAGAAATGACCCATTAACAATCTTTTTTTTTTTTTAAGCAAAAGATAACATCTTTGCATTTCTTACACACTCAGAAGTGGGTTGAATTCTATACTGAACCACAAGTAATGAATGTCTTTGAAGTTTTCATTCTGTCTCTTTTCCCATTGGTAATTACCTTATTTTATTTTTAATATAGTTCCCGTGTCCCATTTCCTACTCTTTTTCCTACACCACTCTAAAGCAATCAGTTCAAGTCTCTCTGGGAAGGACAATGTCCTAGTAAAAAAGGATAATTAAGGGTACTTAAAGCAAGACAAAATTTATATTAGATTATCATAAATGAAGTTTTATTTTTAAATAGCCTTCTAAAAAGTCCCTGTTGATGAACTTCTTCTGGTTGCAGTTTATTCTTTAAATATTGTTCTACCAGCATTATTGAACAACTACTTTCAGCGGGGTAAAAATATCTGGTGCAATCTGCTCCAGCGCTCATTATCCTTGTTAAAAGGCAGACTCTGACAATAGTATCTAAGGGTTACATGTAAACCAAATGGTTAAAAACAGGATCCTAATTTATAATGACCTTTGTACTTGTTTATCCTCAATCTTGAGTGATCTTCACCAGAAGTGACTTCTAACCTTTTACTTTTACATTTCCTCACATGGTACATATCTAGAATGTATTAAAAAAACCAATGTACCAGTGGCCTTAAAGGTTGAAGGTACAGAGAGATAACAAAGATTCTCATATGAAGTGTGAATACTTGTTTTCTAACACCAGGCCTCCCTGGAGGATGAACCCCTGCATTTGCTTCCCCATTAATTTTTGGGTAAGAGGGAGGCTCCCTGGACCATTCTACCTTCGCTGCCTGAAGGAACACCCACACCTGAGAATCACCCTGCCTGAGGTACAGAGCAGAAAGGGGAAGGGAGGACAGTGCAGCCAGATTTGGGTGTTACCTCGATGGCCAGCTGGAACTGCTCGTGCTCCCGCTGCAGCTGCTCTGCTTCGGACAAAGAGCTGGCATTGACCAGGCTGGCGTTGAGCATTGACTCTCCATTGCGGATCCATCCCAGGACCTAGGGAATCGGGACAAGCACACAGATGAATGGCCTTCCGCAGTTTCCCCAGAGCTGTTGCCTCTTCTCACGGGGACTTCAGACACAGAGCTCACTATCATTTATCTTCTGCTGGAGAGAGGACAGCAAAGGTCTCCATAATTTAAATGGTCATCTCCCCAATCATACAGAGTACCTGTGCCATAAGGTACTTACTTTATGTACCTGCTTTATTCCCAGCTCCACGTCACCCCCATCCCAATTTCCTCACCCACATAATGTAAACATTACTTAACATGGTGGTACTGTATACATGTCTAAACTTCCTTCTGGAACATAGGATGGTATAAATAAATACATTCCATCTGTTGGTATCCTTTTCTTTTTTTATAAGGTCCAGTTCAAATAACAACAACTTATGGAAACCTTTTGCACCTAATCTCTCCTGCTAGAAACAATCTCATCTTCATCTAGTGCGAGCATATCATTTTGCATGTACCACCTTTATGGTAGTCACCACAGACTTCCTGGTTTCTTTATTTCAACCTATGTTTCATTCCCCCCTGAGAACATAAACTTCCTGAAATCTGGGGCAATATATTAGTCATATTTTAGTCTCACACAGTACCTAGCACAGTACTTCGCATATAATGGGTGTGGTGTAGTTTTTGAAGTAATGGAGTATACCCAGGTCACACCTGAGCAGTAAGTCTAATCTCCTCTACCCTGCAAAATAACCAAGGGTAGGCAGGTTTGAACTTCAGTAGGTAAACAACCCCAAAAAAGGAGAAAAGAGAAAGAAAACAAGCAAAATAGGAATAACCCATCTTCTGAATCATCAGAAAAACGGGAGTAAGCTATAATATAATCGACTTAAATTATTTAGAGGCCATGGGTAGGCTGAATACAACTTCTATGTGATGTTAACAAGTACTGGGAGAAAGAAAACTCAATGAGGGAATATTAGGATAGAAGAAGAAACAGCTGACACTGTCTAGAGAGTTCTAGGTGAAAAAGGGATGTGGAAATTATCCAGCTAATAAAGTCAGAACAAATAATGCGTTAGGCTCTGAAAACCTACCTGGTGTCTGGTCACCAGAACACTGCCAAATACTTTCCTTATTAGGGAGTCTGAGAGTTTGCTTGGAGAAGAAATAAAAGCTATTCTGAAATTTCAAGATCAGTAAATACCACCCATCTATCACCTCATGCCAAAGGAGAAAGACACCACTATCTGTTTCAGATTTGCTTTCATATTTTTCTCCCCTCTACTTCCTCATATTGAACAATTAGAAAATACCAAGCCTAGTCTCGTGCTCTATAACTCATAGGCACCTCTCAAATTTCATCCCTGGGCAAAAAATGACTCATGCCTTATTGTGTATAGATAACATCAGGTCATAAATCCCACTAAAGCTGGGCTACTTGGATTGAGATGTTAATTCACAGCCAGGCTGGCAGATTGTAGATGAGATGCCAATCTGTAAAGCAATTAGTTACAGGAAATAACTGCTCAGGGTGTTCACGTGAAATCCCTGTTGTCACTGGTGGACTGTGGCTGGCTGCCTAGAGGTGCTAATTATTTTGAAAAGTTGCCTGTAACTTTGGGCGCATGCATTCATAGACTGCATGCCCAAATGCCTCATCTCTTTGGGAAATGGAGTTTACGGTATCCCTCTGCCATGATTTACTGCATTTTGTTTGGTCTGAAGATTCATTTGAGAGTGTCAGCGAAACGACTTCTCCAAGTGCATCACACATCAATGCCTGTAGGACAATTTGACTCCCTTTGGACCTCTTCAGTTTTGTTAGAAAATTTTTCTCTCCAGTTTCAGTCAACAGGAAACATGAATTATAGCTATGGTGGTGGGATCCCTACTTACCAGCTTCCCATTTAGAAACATCATGGGTTTCAGTACCTACTTTTTAAATTATATCACGTCATTTCCTGTTCATTTTTATTTACTAAATGCTGTTTAAAAAGGCATTCCAGGACTTTAAAGTGGGAGATTAGATTTTAGGAAGCTAAAAATGCATGGTAGTTTACATCCATAGCTTAGCTCCAGAGTGGGGCTGATCCCTATGAAAGAGTCAGTCCTGGACGTAGACCTGGCATAGCAGAAAAATAACATAACATACGGAGTCAGAAACGCGGCTTTTTACTTACCTGGAAAAATCACTTAACCCCTCTGAGTCTCAGTTTTCTCATCTGTAAAATAAGGATAATTGTACCTTCCTTTTCTGCATTGCAGGGTTGACGCAACAATGCGTAAAATGTAAAGTCTGATGATTATGATGGTACTGGTGGTGATTTTTAGTTTGGAGAAAAGCTGGATAATAAGGTGATTATTTATACCTCTCTTAATGAGAAGAGAGCTTTATTCCAGTGTCTGTATGAGCTTACTGGCATATTCTGACGTGATGTAGCTTCCTTAGCTGTTTTGTCATCATTATCCTTTTACTGTGATCACTGATAACCCTTGTTGGTATAATTTTCTATTACTGGTATTTTTAATCTTCCAGGTTCATACAACTGGCTAGTTAGTCTTCTGTGAGCATACAAATATGTGCAAGTTAAGAAACATCATAACTAAAATGAGAAAATGTTGGTTCTACTAATCTTGAGCTGTGTGACCTTGCAAACATCATTTAAGCTCCCCAAGGCTCAGTTTTCTCATCTGTAAAATGTGAACACTTTCCTTGCATAAGGCTTGGGGTAAAGAAAAAATAAAATAATTAATGTAAAAGTATTTTTCAAACTGTAAAATGAATATTGACATTGATCAAACATTTTAGGCAACAATTTAGCCAATAGGTTAGATGATCTTTAAAGATAATTTCCAGCTCTAACATTCCACACTACTTTCAAAACTCAAAGAGTGCCCCTAGGGTGTCCAAGAAAATCAGTTACATAGAAATGAAGGACTGAAAGAATATCACTGCTTGGGGACTTAAGAGCTAGGTCAAAAGTTCAGCTCAGTCTGAGCTTGAGGGGGAACTGTACATGAAGATCTATTGCTTCTTCAGGCCAGGAAAGCTCAGCTAAGCCCAAGTCCGGAGAATGGATTTGAGTAAGTGGATGAAGATATCCACAAATGGTGATGCCATTTAAGCTGGGCAGGCTGAGCCTTGTAACCATGTAGACTGGAAAGTCGCCTGTAGATGGCTGTGTTCTCAAGGTCACACCTACAGCAAAGCTATGAGGTTGTACTCAAGGCAACTGACTCTAAGGACCTCTATTATAGATGATTTATCACAAGGCATAGTTGTTTCTGAAACTCTAGCCACAGGAAAAATAATCAGCTCCTCAGATGGTAGCACGGAGCCTGTCATATGTCCAGTATTCCTTAGTTCTAAAAATCCATGACCTATGAGACTGCAGATGTTCATCCTTCATGGTTTATAGACTGTGGCCATATGTCCTCTTAATTATCTCCATTTTGAAACAAAAGGATGGTACTTGTCCTGTTGGCTGCCCCTCTTTTGGCTCTACTTCAATTCCTCTCTTTTATATTCAGTCAACAGAACTGAACACAGTATTCTCCACAAGAGAATGAGGACACATTAATATTTTCTCCTTTGTCCTAAATGTCCATCTTGATTATATGCAAATTTTGGCCAGCATTTGGTGCAAAGAAGGAAATTAAGCCAATGTCTTTAGTAATCAAATAAATATAACTTCTTTCCTCATAGCTTAGAGACACAACATTTTATAAATCCATTTTAGCTTATTTTCTGCTAAATGCACTGCTTTGCAGGAATACATACGGAAATTCATTTAGTTTTATGCTCATTAGGGAGGTCTTTCAAATCTTTCTGAATTATCTAATAGATGTGAGGTCATCTTCACCAGAGTAGTAATTTTCCTGGTAGCCATCAGAGCATTCTGTGGGGTTTGAAGAGTAATTTGGCATTGAGTGGTCCAGGGATCTGCTCCATGGGCTGTAATTAGTGGAGTGGTTTCCCTTCAAGGTCCACCATTTCTCTAGGGGTGTTTGGGCTATCTATCTTAGATATAAAGTCCTATATAAACCCTCAGAAAGAAAATCAGTTGCATCAACCAATTTCATTTTTTTTGAGTCCATTAATATAATTTTTAGTCTAATGTCTGTGCCTTCCTTGCTTTTCAGTACTTCAGTTTAATATTATTTTGGTAAAACTACACTTAAGGTTATGATGGGCCATGATCACATCTAAACCTTTAATCTATGAGCTCTAATGACATAGTTGTATCATAATCTATTATTGTCTTCTCCCTTTCTGCCCCCATTAATGGCATTTCAATTAAAGTGTCCTTTTTCTTTCTTTCTTTTTTGAGACTATATTCAAAAGAGACTCTCAAGCTACTGTCTAAATTTAGCCTCACTGATCAATACCGACATCTAAATTAACTCCCTTTTTCCAAGAGTCAACAGCTTCCAAATCAATATTTCCTGCTCCACCAATTTCCATCAAATACAAATGCCTTCTCTGAAACTGGATCAGAGGGCTCCCTAAGGAAAGAGCCTACACTGACAAGGAAAACAAGCCTGTCTAATGAGGCATGGTGGCTTAACCAAGCAGCAGTCCCTTGGCATCTCGAGGACCAATGCCCTTTGCAAAGGGTTTGGTAGATTTCCTGAGAATCCGGTTTGAGCAATTTTGTACAGTCTTGAACGACAATCCCACAGTGTGTCATTTTTGTCACGGTAGAAATAAGGAATCTTCCCACCCCCACAGAAGAATTCCTTTTTTGTCTCCCCACTCATGATATTATAAAGGGGAATGTATATAGATATTAGTCCACCCCAGATTATTTATATGTAGACAGTCCACTCCCTATTTAACAAAATACTTATCATCAGCCCAGTCTCCTCCTATATAGGATGTATAGTTGGAGAATGAATATATTTCTATTTTAATATCAGCCAAGGAAAAGAGAATTAGGGAGCTGAATCTACCACTGGTGCTGGAGAAAAATAAATTAAAAATCAGAAACAAAAGCAAATTTATATATTCCATTTCAAAGTCAAATAGGAATGATTTTCCTGTTATGTTTTGTTCAGATGGTCATTCCTGCCACCTTCCACTGATGGAAATAACCAAGTAGGTGCAGCAGAGGACTTCGATGACCTGCTGGAGCCTTGCTGACCTCAGACAGGTGCCACCCTCTCCATCAAGCTTAGGCTATGCCTGCTCCTGTCCTCTCATACATGGTACTGCTGAGGTCAGGAAAACCTAAGACCATTCAGCTAGAAGGATTCTTATTTTAAATTTTGAATTGATAAACATAATTGTACATATTTATGGTATACATGTGATATTTTGATACAGATATACCATGTGTAGTGCACATTGTAACTGGGATAACCATCACCTCATTTATTTGTGTTGGAAACATTCAAATTCCTTTCTTTTAGCTATTTTGAAATATACAATAAATTGTTGTTAACTATAGTCACCCTACTGTACTATACCACACTAGAATATATTCCTTCTAACTGTAATTTTGTCCCCATTAACCAACCTCTCCTTATCATCCCCTCCCCTCTACCCTTCTCTACCTCTGATAGCCACTACTCTACTCTCCACTTCTATGAGATCTACTTTTTTAGCTCCCACATGCATGTAGTATTTCTGTGCCTGGCCCATTTCACTTCACCTACGTTGGAGGGCTTCTATTTCTCCTGGGACCACATGGCAAGAGTGGGGGCCAGCAGAGGCAAACTGTAGGACCTTGGATTTAGGAGGCCTGGGCTGAAGTTTCAGCTGACTAGTCAAGAGGGCTTGGGAAGCACTAACCCTATGGTACCTTAGTTTCCTCATTTGAAAAGTAAGCATAACACCACTTCTCCCCATGGGTATGTTCTCTTAAAATGAGATTATAAATGAGAAAGGATTTCTCATATGAAAAGAAAGTCCAGCCTTAACTACTAAGTCGCAGAATTAGAAATACTCATTATTGTTCTGGGCCTGCTAGGATTTCCATCAAGTCCTTATAAATAACATGTCTCTCTGGAGACTCAGGTTTGATCCCAGTGTCATTAAGCAGAAACAACCTGGAGGGCAGCACTGTAACCCTGCCTTGCTTGGGGCTCAGGAATGTAATCTGCATGGAATACAGATCTTTAGCATGGCGTGTGTGGGCTATAGCTCAGCACTGATTGGAAGAGATGGGGAGTGGAGAAGATAGACTTATAATAAATAACAATATAATAACTAAGACAGAGGCATTAGAGGAAGGAATACCTTTAATATAAGGAATCAAGCAACAATTTAACAAAATAAGATGCTTTTGGCCCTCATACTAAATTAAAAGGCTTTAATTCTAAAAGTTCCAGCATGCTGAGCTATGGTTTTCTGAAGAAAAAAGGTAAAAGCTCCAGCAGCCACTACAGACAAGAAAAAAACGTGTTTAAAAGATGCTTCTTTGCTTAGGATGATTTGGGTAGAATGGGGCAGAAAGGGGCAACCACAGGAGTGATGTGGTACCTGCTCTGCTGGGAACCCCTCTGGGACCTGTGGAGAGCGGTGATGTGCTCTCTCCTCAGGGTGATCGTGGTCTGCTGACCTCTTAAGCTTCAGTGGCCTCATCTATAAAATGGGAATAAAGTCTACTTCAGAGAATGGTTGTGAGGATGGATGAAGATGTGTGTAACACGCCCACAGCACTCAACAAAATGGAACTATTATTATACTTTTACTTCTTCACCCCCACCTTTGTACAAATAGCGAATTAAAACGATTACCACTTAGTCTGTTCTTAATATATGTACTTTTTGTAATTTTTATTTTTTGGAAACAGGGTCTTGCACTGTCATCCAGGCTGGAGTGCAGTGACATGATCACAGCTCACTGCAGCTTCAAACTCCTGGGCTCAAGCGATCCTTCTTCCTTAGCCTCCCAATTAGCTGGGACCACAGGCATGTGCCACCACATTCAGCTAATATTGAACATTTTTTGTGCAGTCTCACCATGTTGTCCAGGTTGGTCTTAAACTGCTGGCCTCAAGTGACTCTCTTGCCTTGGCCTCCCAAAGTGCTGGGACTACAGGTATGAACCACCATGCCTGGCCTGTACTATTTTAAAAATGTGACATTGGTCATTGTGTGTATGTTCCCACAGGCTCCTAGAGATTAAGCATAAAACGCCTAGCATAATGCTTCATGCAGATAAGCTTTTTCCTTTTTAAAATCAACTTTAATATGGCAAGAAAACTTTCCTATAATAACCATACACACTTTGGAAATAGTGACGGTAATTGCTACTAGTTACTGAATATTAACTATATGTCAGGCACACGGGTGCCCCAAATTAATTAACCTGACTCTATATCCTAAATATGCTTATTGATAAAGGATTTGTATATTTCCCATGGACTGCTTGACAGGATTGAGGATAGAAAGAAAGAATAGATTCAGTGACTGAGGACAAATCTGGAATGGATTGTCACGTAAGCAAGAAATCAAGCATTTGTTGTTTGAGCCATTGGATCATTGGGTCTATTTGTTACTGCAGCCAAGTTTTCAGAAACTAATACAAGTAGTCCTTAACTTACCTATTTTCGAAGTGCTGGTTACTTAAAGGGGCACCTGTGGCTCTGTATGCCTTACCTCATATCAGGAGCAGGTCCCAGGTCAGGCTCGGCTGGCTGAGAAACCCAGGCTGAAGGAAGAAGGGGCCGGGCTTACCTGTTTGACTTCAGCCTGGAGGTGCCGTAACTGGAGGCACTGCTCTAGCCGCTTATGAGTCTGCTCCGCATTGAGCTCCAATTCATGCTGCTTCTCATGGAGAAATTCCAATAACTCTTGCACCTGGGCTGCCAGATCAATGTCTTTTTCACAGATCAACTCAATTCCTGATTTTCAAAAATGGAAACAATTAAAAACCAGCTAGTACTGTGAAGGTTACATTCCTTTCAATATGCATAAGAAAACTGGAATTTGGAAACAGTCATTATTCATACCCTCCCAAACTCTAAACATTCCTCTGTGAGACTGAGCACCACAATGCACCCATGTTTGGGATGCTAAAATTATGCCATCTCTTTTGTATCAACGGATCCTTTGCCTGAGAATTCAATGGATGATCAGCTCCTTATTATCAACAGGAATTAGAGTTATATAGAGGTCCAACCCTAGACACAACAGCACCCAGCAATTCCTGCTGGGGGATTTGCCAACACCCAGAATATTCACAAACAAGCCTCTAAATCATATTGGAAAATCAAAAACCAAACCAAAAGACTGTCCCAGTACTTCTGCCAACGACACACTTCTTTTTTTAGCTGGTCAGATATAATTTATCATTAGATGGTAAGTTCACTTCAACGAGAATAGCTACACAATAGTGATTTTTAAAAATTAATTTTAAATTCCCCGCAAGGGTTGCACATGGACAGTGGTGATTTTATTAGCCAACTACTTAGGTTCTCTAAAAACAGGAATTGTTAGAAATATAAGCTAGCTGTCATATATTATTTATAAAACTCAGGCAAACACACCTAATAAATACAACCCAGCAATATACCACAGGGATAATGAGTGCTTATCCGTTTAGAAAGAGCTTCACATTAAAGTTGTGCCCACACAAGGAGAGTTTGCTCAGTGTTTTTCTACTGGTTTATAATTAGTAAACCCAGCCAGTCACTGACAAGTGTTCTCAAGGTTTATGTATAAACCATCCAACATTAATAAACTGTCAACGATCTGACCTGTAATGGGAACCTTGAGTCAATATATGCCAGCCAGAAGCTGTGGCCCCATTCCTTGTTTACCTCCTTGTCTTACTTTTCCTATATACTTTTCCCAACTCATGAGCACAGGTGCACACATACACTTCCTCTCTTCACCATGCCAGTTCTCCTATTTATACATTATCATCAGCAGGCCCAGGTAGCCGTCATCAAATAAATTTCTGCCTCAGAAATTAACAAACTCGGTGAGAGAGCAAAGGAACTGTCTTAGTAATCAAAGTCCTTCTCTCCACTAGTAACTTGAATTCGATTCCTTACTTGGCTCTCAAAGACTACATGAAAGTGTACTAGCTTTGGAATAGTCCTGAGTTGGAATCCTGACCTTGGGCAAGTGATCTAGACTCTCAGAAGCCTAATTTTGCTCATACGTAAAATATGAATTTACATACCTACCTACTTCATAAGCTACCTACCTCCTAAACTTGTGGGATTAAATGGGATGATGCATGTAAAATATCTCTCATATATACATATTACTGTGTATACATGATACACAATAAATACAGACCACTGCTGCTTAATCCTGTGGCTTTCCTGACTCCTGACTCTTACCTTAAACTTTTAACTTTCTGCCTTCTCACATTCATGCCCTCTTGGTTTCTAAATGTCTCCGACTTGTTGCAAGTTGTGGCCCATGTTGTTTCTTGATTTGGATTGTCTACATATTTCTTATTCGGCCTTGTTCAGATCCTTAGCTCTAGGAAAATCCTAACTCTGGACTGCTTGCTTATTCTGATCCCTGAGTCCACCTGGCTCTGCAGCTTCTTAGTTCTGTCCAAGTCCCTTCCCTGGCTCTTCATCCAACAATCTAGACCCAGTGCAGCTTTGGTCCTGATGCTGACACTTTGTCTGTGATGCTGAAGGACAGGATCTCAACCAATGATGGAGTTCAGACTTAAAAGCCCCGCAGATAAGTCACCAAAAGGTAGTGTACTTCCATGGGGATCAAACCCAAAGGAGCCTGCCAGTCTCAACATATGGCTACCTAAAAAATAAATCCCATTTGAGAGATTTCCCCATCACTCTACTCACATCACCAGAAATCCATCACTGCCACCACCAACACACCTGCAACATATCGTCGGGGGAGTATAAGGAAAGTCTGTACATGCTAAAGAAAATTTATCTCTGGAGGCAAAAATAGTGTTTTATATAAGGACAATATGGGAAAGTGGGAACATTTTTTTTTTCCTGGTGTTACATGGTAATAATTTCAGTATCTTTTCATGTTTATTTTTTTTGTGTCTGTTTCATAATTCCAAGTCCCAGCTCCTGAAATATCTGTGGGAGACAGAGAAAAGAACGGCTTGTTCTTTTGGCAGCCAACTCCTTCCAGTTACTATTTTCAATTACCAAGGGGATGAGGTAGAGCATCTCCTTGACTGAAATAAAAAGTAAGAACACAAAAATTTCTACCTCTGCAGTGCTTGGCATAGTGGGATGACCCCTGACTCTTATCTTTACTTTCTGGAAATGCAATTTAAGATCCATCTGCAGAAGCAGACGCTCTTTCTCACTTCAGTCTCGATGCGGATTTGTTGTAGCTCATACTCATTCTGCATGTGTCTCTGGTGTTCAGGATGCTGGGCTTGGGCAAATGTCTTTCTATGTGAGCCTCATGGCTCAACTCTGCCACACCACATGTTACCTGTCAAAGAGGACAGCCACCTGCTTAGGACATCAAACAGAGCAGTCTCCCAGCAAGTCCTGAGACTCAGTCCCTGCATTTTCATCCATCTCATTTGAGGTTGTTTTATGTGAGATAAACACAGGAAATAAAATGGATGAAGACAATCCTTATTGCACCTCTGCACTTCTCAGGAAGACATCATGTTGTGGATGGAGTAAATGGGAGGAACATGAAGATTTATTCCAGCCACACCTAGAAGAATAGAAATTATCCCCTCTCCCACTGCCCCCAAACACACTGACATGAGTACCAGTTAAAGCCCATCAAATGGTAAATATCTGTCAATCGGCAGCAGGCAGAGTTTGCTTGTGTTGACATTACTGCTCTCAATCTAATGATATATCTGTTTTTCTTAGGGGCTCTCAGAAATGTGAAAAGACATGTTTCCTCTTTCCATCAAGTAGTGGAATATATTTGTGAGGAAATCATTTGTCAGGCTCTTTTTAAAAAGTTCTTTTGAGACTTCTTTCTGATTTGCCCCCACAATTTCCTGTGTCCATACCCCAATCAGAACACTTCCATTCAGGTTGGTTCCTTATTAACCTATCCATGTTGTCCCAGGAATGCAGGCTTCCCGACGCCAGGGCCATGTCAGTCTTATCCATCTCTGCCTCTTCAGGCCCTAGCACAATGCTTCATTCATATCATCCAATAAATACCTAATCAATGAACAAACGAGCCTCTTTAGAGAACTGAGGTCATATGCTGTGGTGGAAAGTACCTGAGAGCTTGGGGGAAGAACTGGCTTAGGTTTGCTCTGTATGCTATGAATGGAGAGACTCTGAGCTTCTCACCCTCTCTGAGCCCGGGTTGCCTTGTCTGTAAAATGGGAATCACAAGGAAGACTTCTCAGGGATGTTGTGACAACTAAGTGAGATACAATGTATACAGTGCTTGGCATCTAGTAGGCTTAAAATATTCATTTTCTCCCTTTTTCCTCTCCCTCAGAGAAATTATAACGAATACACTTTTGATTGCTGATGGAACTATTGAATGGCTTGTACAAAATGTAAATATAAAACCTTACTGACAGGTGTTTATGTACTCGCCTAATGTATATCATTGGAAACTATGGTGGCTTTAATGCTGTTAGACTGCTTCTCTCAACCCTGGCTCACATCAGATTCAGCAGATAATTTTTTTTTTCTTTTAGACTGAGTTTTGCTGCATCACCCAAGCTGGAGTGCAGTGGCGCGATCTCGGCTCACTGCAACCTCTGCCTCCTGGGTTCAAGCGATTCTCCTGCCTCAGCCTCCCAAGTATCAGCTGGAGAATTTTTTTTTAAATCACCGTGTCCTAACCACACCCCAGACCAATAACCTCAGAATCTCTGTGGTCGGGACCCAGTCATTAGTAAGTCTTAAACCTCCAGGCATGATTCCAACATGCAACCAAGATTATGAACCACTGGATAAGATGGTACAATGGCCAGAAACCTGGGGAAACAGATATTCCTTCTGCTACACTCAGCGAATGCTCTGCATTGGTGTTTGTTTAGGGCTAAAAGCCACAGCTAACAACGATAAGCATTAGTTTGCTTTCGTTTGTTACCAGATGAGGGTACCACTTTAATTTCCTCAAGGAGAGAGGTGACCATGGTCTAGAGTAAGATTCAGATATTTCTAGCTATGCTGCCCATACTTGTAACACGTTTTTAAAAACTATGTTCTTTAAATATCGGTATCTGCCTCAGATACAGAACATCTTCTTTTCTCTTTCTTTTCTCCTCCCCTGTCCATTCCTCTTTCTGTGTCACTCCGTCTACCTAACAGTTCAGAAATCACAAAGTCCTTTAATGAGGTTTTTAGATCAGTGTTCTCAACACTGGTTGTACCTTAAAATCACCTGGGAAGTTAAAAAAAATCTGGGCCCACACCAGACCAGTTAACTAAGAGTCCTTGAGGGATGGGGCCCAGACATTGGTATTTTTAAGAAGTTCCCAGGTGATTCTCAATCTACAGCCAGGTTAAGAACCATTGTTTCATATCAAGGTTTCTTCTTCCCCTCCTCTCAGCCCCTCAGATCCACATTCCTATTAACCCCAGAGTAGCTTTCATGTTGAAAATAATAATAATAATAAAAAACCCAGATTTTTTTTCTTTCCTTTTTGACACTAGTAAAATTATTTGTGCTCCATTATTTTTACCTACATGTGTTCACCCACATTGATGTTCATTCTTGATTAATTCAGCAAACGTTACTATTAAGAACTTACTAGGCACAAGACATTGGCTCTGCTAGATGCTGGGAATGGAAAGAGGGAAGAAAGAATTTGTTCCTTCATGCTGCTGAAAAAACTACAGGAACGCAAATAACTTCAACAGAACATAGCATGTGCTAGGAGTACAACATATACTAGTTGCCAAGCTTCACTGAACCCTTTCCATCCTCCCGTGTTATCCCACTTCATCCTCACATGACCCTATGTGGTAAGGATTCTGAAGATCACTACTTTTCAGAGGAAGGCAAGGTTTAGAGAGACAGGTGAATACGTACAAGGACACTCAGGTCCTAAGAGGTGCGGCCGGGATTTCAACCCAGGATTTCCTCTTGATTTTGTATTCTAGCCTTTACGCTCAAGGAGAAGAGTGATCCTCACAAAACTTAATTTATTTTAAGAATTTATTTATTTTTAAAAGTTGGGGTTGGGCTCTTCTCAGGCAAAGTAAATTTTAAGTATCATGGCAACAGACTTCAGAGATTTCTCATTTACAAACATTGTATAAAGAGAGAAGTTGATGCTTTGAGTAAATCACAAAAACAACATATCCATAGGGTATGTCACTCTTGTTTTACTCCTCGAGTCAAGTGTAACAGTCGCATGGTCAGATTTCATGGGAGAGAAGAAGTATGGCCTGGTCAATGAGGGCAGTTAGGCTGAATTACGGAAAGTGAGAACTGGAGGGAACCTTAGGAGTTAAGGCCTGCCACACTAGACAGAAGAAGAAACTAAAGTCTAAAGAGAAAAGGGACTTCCAAAATCAGACTGCTAGTTGGTGGAACTGGACCTTGAATTCAGCCAGCATGTTTCCCCCAACTTCTTTCAGCAAAACCTACCACCTCGCAATTTGAGGCTCAAATAGATGATTCCATAGTGAGGAAAGAACAATGAGCAAATTAAGAAATTGTTCCTATTTACTCTATTCCTGAGCCTGATGTTAAGTTAAGCAAAGGCTTTTGCTTTGGTTAGAGTTGTGGGTACACCAGAGCGATTTAGTAGAGCCTGGCTCAATATTAGAAACTTCACACTTGAAAAGAAGCATATAAAAATTGCCTAGTTCCATTTGCTACTACAAAATCAAAGCATAAGCCCTTATTCAGCATGGACTAAACACCAACAAAAGTTTTAATATTGCTAATTGTCCTTTTTCTAAGACTACAGTTTATTTCACCTTTAGTCCAAATACAGTCCATTAAACAAAGACTGTAACTCCCCAAGCCATTTATTGCCTCAGTCCTGTGTCTCTGAAGTCTTACATTCCTCAGCCACTGGGGGTCAAGGCCCACCTGGGCTCACCTCTTACCCCAACCCAGCCCTCCAGCTCTGGTGTGAATCTACCCTCCATTTCCCTAAGCCCAGAGGTAAGTTAGATGCCTCCCCGGCAGAACCAGGCATTCAGCCATAGACAGGGAGTGAGCATTCCTAAAACCCCTGGATTCATTCTCTTGAAAGCCTCATGGTATACGCCAGACTGAACAGCTAGCTGTGGTAGGAGCAGGAGAACAGCCAGCCTCAGTAAGAGGCGCTGAAGAGGCCAATCAAACCTCTTTTGACAAAGCTCATTTCTAGAACAGGATATTGTGGGGGTGGGCAGCCCATCTGCCTGGGGTGTTTTCACCCACTCAGCCCTCATGGTTTAGGTGGACGCCAAGCACAGCCCACCTCAGCCACAAGCAGTCCTCAGGGACTTCCAGCTCCCAGTAGTCTTTCTGTTACTATGGATACTTGGCTCTTGGGACAGAGGTTGGCTTGCCCAGGGTCACGTCAGCACCCTGGTAGTAAGTGCTGCAGGTGTCCAGGCAGACAAGGCTCCTTTTCCTGCGGGACACATCCACCATGAGAGATGAAGGGTGAGCATCCCTGCATAGCTTCTCTGCCTGTCTCTCTGCTAGATGCTGTGTCTGCATTCTCTTATGGTTCCCAGTCGTAGCTGCATAGACAGCTACAGTGAGTACCATGAGGGCAGGTCATGGGGCTAAATGCCGAGTCCAGGTAAGATTCCCAATCAGAGAAGGGATTATGGTTTCCCCCACTTCCCTAATAAGGTACAGTCCATGTCCTAGAACACTGACTTCCAAATTTTAATTTACCTGGAGATTTCATTAACATATACTTTCAGATTCACAAGTCTGGGATAAGGCCAGCGATTTTGCATTCCTAATCTGCTCCCAAGTGATGCTGGTGCTGCTGGGCCCAGAGCCCACACTGAGTAGCAACATGCTAGGTCAGTGGTGCACAATATCAACTGGAGGGCTAACTGAACCACAGATTGCTGGGCCACACTCTGTTCACCCATAGACTATTTAAGCAACATTGCCTTATTCATGAATCCACCCCTCAGATCAGTCTCTGCTTTGGAATTCTTTGACCCTTAGACTATCTAAGCAACATTGCCACGTACTCTTGTGTACAGGGCTTTAAGAGTATGCGCTGTTTCAATGCCTATAGCAACAGCAAAGGAACCACAGCAAACATTTATGTTATGAGATTCTGATGTAATGGGTTCAGGTATGGGCCCTTGAACTCGCATTTCAAACATATCCTCAGGTGATGCTAATGCTGCTGATATGGGGATCACATTTTGAGAGCCACTGTCCTAGGTCATTCCAGAGATGTCAGCTGTTGTGGCTTAATTATCACAATTAAAAGCAGTGGTTCTTGGCCCTGGCCACACAGTTGAATCACCTGAGGAGCTTTTTGCTGTTGCCCAAGTTTCATTTAGAGGTAGTTAAATCAGAATATCAGGGCATGGGGCCTGGGCACTGTCATTTAAAAAAAGTCCCCAGACAGACTGCAAGGTGAGTAGCCCTTCCTGGGACTACACAGAGCACCAGCTGCATACCTGTGAATAGGCCTGGGTTTCAGCTGCACACCTGTGAACAGGCCTGGGTCTCAGATGCAGTCTGTTCACAGCACAGATGAAAATTCAAGGACAGACTATGTTGACAAAAGTGAACAGAATTTACTAGACTATCTCTCCTCTGGTCAGGAGTGAAGTCCCTTTGAAAGCTGGTCTTTACTCTTTCAGGTCATCAAAAGAAACACAGTACTTTAAAGTTCAGTATGACTGCTAAGGTCCCCCCGACAATCTCAGGATTTCCATATCCTTCAGGATAAGCAGGGACATGACCCAACTGCGTTTTATAGTTGATGGCCTTAGTCCCTGTCTACCTCGTGCTGGAGAGTGAGGCACCTGAGCCAACAAGGACCTGGGTAGGAGGGCAGTGGAGTGGGTTGGGAGGTAGAGTTATGGGCTCTAGCATTCCCCTGGGATGTGACCAGCCATGTGACTTCTTTTCTTCTGGACCAGTGGATCACCATGGCACTCTCTCATTCTAACATCAAAGGCTTACTTGGGGAGTGGGAAGTATAATAGTAAGGACTCACTCACTTGTTAGATAAATTTTGAATAAATCTTGAGCAGGAAAAGAAGTTAAATCTGAGTAACTCAGCCATGTTTTTCTGAGAAGATACAAAATTATATGATCTTGTCATAAATGTTTATCAGTACTGCTTATACTCACCCAAAGACCAGTGATTAAAAATTGAGGAGACTAAGAAGCAGGAACAGGAGACAAGGAGGTAGCTTAGGAGTAGAGGATAGGGCTAGAGAATGCGTGCTGGCAGCAGGGGTCAGGAGCAGAAGAGGAAACCGCTACGCATGTGAATACAATCCATATGAATGTCTGACTGCTTCTGGTTTGTTTTTCCAGGCTACTGTTTTTTAAAGGAATCTGTGCTGATTGCCATCATCGGTTCTCTCACTCTCTCTGCAGACCAGCAGACCCTGGCCCTATTCTCAACTTGAGCACAGCCTAACTGGGTAACCTTGGGCACTATTTCAGCTCTCATGGCTTCCGTTTCTTTTTTTTTTCATCTGACTCCCGCACAGGCTCGAGTGCAGTGGCATGGTCTCTGCTCACTGCAGTCTCCATCTCCCAGGTTGAAGAGATTCTCCTGCCTCAGCCTCCCGAGTAGCTGGGATTACAGGCGTCCACCACCACACCTGGATAATTTTTATATTTTTAGTAGACATGGGGGTTTCACCATGTTCGCCAGGCTGCTCTCGAACTCCTGACCTCAAATGATCCACCCACCTCAGCCTTCCAAAATGCTGGGATTACAGGCATGAGCCACCACACCTGGTCTCGTTTCCTTTCTTTTTCTTTTTCTTTTTTTTTTTTTTTAATGTGGGTAGAAGTCTCTATTCTTTGTAGCTGTAGGAATAAAATGAATAAACGATGTGGCAGTGCTCCTTGCAGGCTAGCTGGTATGCTTGTTTTCATCATTTCCCCTGCCAGAAGAATAAGCAAGGTCACCCACCTGATGCCTGGACCTCCATGATGTACTGGTGCAGATCCTGTCCCTGCTGGATGACCTCAAAAGTCATGTTGTTCATGGCTAGCTTCCGTTCTGTGTGGCGCTGCAGCCGCTGTTCTGCCAGGGTTAGGTCCTCTGTGTTGAAGTCATTCATCTGCCGAAGCAAGTCTTCATTCCAGGCGTCTAGCTCTGCTGTCACCTGTGAGGGAACCACTGTCGTCAGCACAGGCTCACCAGGTCCACGAGAGAATGTTAGGTTTAGACTTACGATTCCAAGCCTTATTCATGAATCCAGCCCTCAGATAAGTCTCTGCTTTGGAATTCTTCAACCCTTAGACTATTTAAGCAACATTGCCATGCACTCTTGTATACATGGTTCCAAGAGTGCTCTCTAGGTTTTTCAATGCCTGTAGCAACAGCAAAGGAACAGCAGCAAACGTTTATATTATGAATTATGGCTTATAGAGTTTTTGCATACTCCTTGCTGTTCAATCCTCACAATAACCCAGTGAGGCAGGCATGATGGAGATCTCCAGGTCCATCTTCTAGAAGAGGAAGTTGACCCTCACACAGACAGATGGGGTGATTCAACCTGCCAGAGACGGATAAAGTTCTTCTACTAACTGCAAAGACTTTGTCTACCATCCCACAGTGGTTGCTGTATTTTTCATAACTAAAGAGGTTCTCAGAAATTAAGTAGCGAGTTTATTTCAGAAACAGAAACAGAGGGCTAGAAAAGCCTGGTGAATGGCCCAAAGTTACACAATCAGTTAAAGAGTAGTGTCCATCAAACCCAGGGGTCCTACTCTGATTCCCATGTTGTATTGTGCAACATTCTGTCCTTCTATTACAAAGGTTGACACCTAAAAATAGTGACTAAACACTAAACAAAATATAAATGTGTAGCATACCTCCAGAAATTCAAGCGGATTTAATCAATTGAAAGGCATTCGTTATTCTAATGAATACTAAAGCATATAATGAATGGAAACATTGCCCCAATAGCAACTTGCTAATTGTTCATTTCTCTACACCTTAACTCACATGACTTCACCAGGTCTACTCTCAGTTTTCTGCAAATAGGGACTAAATCCTGTACTTCCTTTACAATCTCTGCAATCATCCACAGACTAGGAACTCAGAAGACTGAACTAGATAACTCCACCGGTGTGAATCCAAATTAAAAGTTTGTAAACATGGTTTTCAGATCTGCTATCTTGTGCTACCCCCATGACACCCCTATGAAGGCGACAGCATGCGTACTGTCATCCTCTTTTCTCAGGATAGGAAAGTGTCACTCCAGGTCACACATTCCCAGGATGGCCCAGGCCATCTAAGCATATATCCCAGAGCCTTAGTTGAGTAGTTTTCATGATGCTGGGTCTCATGCCAGCTCCCACATGGCATAACCTTCCAAGTTATCAAAAACTGCTGCTCCAGGAGCATCAGTGACACAGGGAGACAGACGATGGACCGAAGCAAGTGGGAGCAGTGCTCTTATATCCCATGCTGGGGCACACATGCTGGGATGGGAAAGCCATGGGTCACAGGATTTCATTTTTGTCTAACAGCAAGACCCTTCTTCAAGCAAAATAGAAACAGGTTAAATTGTACTTGCTCTCTTTGAAGCAGAAATGGGGACATTGAAAATATCACCCTCGCTGCCCTAGGTTCTCACTTCACACCCCATATCTTTTCAGGTCAATTGAGAGAACTGCTGAGCTCAGCAGGAAAACCCAGCATTACTTATTGCGGGGCGTCCTTGGGGGATCCAGGAACCAGTGGGTTGACAGGCAACGTAGGTTTTTGTTGTAGCCCCATCTTTGAAAAGTACTTCATTCTCTAACTCGAGAATGGGGTTAGACTCATGAGACTAAAAGAGATTATTTTTAAAAAGATAATTTAGCCTAGGTGCAGTGGCTTGTGCCTATAATCCCAGTGCTTTGGGAGGCTAAGGTGGGAGGATCACTTGAGGCCAGGAGTTCAAGACCAGCCTGGTCCATGCAGTGAGACCCTGTCTCTCCAAAACAAATAATAATAAATTAGCCAGGCATGGTGGCATGCACCTGTTGTCCTTGCAACTTGGGAGGCTGAGGCAGGAGGATCACTTGAGCCCAGGAGTTCAAGGTTGCAGTGAGCGATTATTATGCCATTGCACTCCAGCTTTGGTGATAGAGACTCTATTTTTTTTTTTTTAAAAAAAGCATAATTTAAAATATAAATAGGCTTTTATAGTTTTTATAGAACTAGGCCTGTAAATATCTTTTTTCGTTACTGTATTTTAAAAACTGATGTATAATTTACATACAAAATACACATATTTTAAGCATTCAGTTCTGAGTCTTGACAATTTTATACACCCATGTAGTCATCGCCAAAATTAAACTATAGAGCCTTCCATCACTCTAGAGAACCTACTTGTGCCCCCTTCCAATCCATTCCTCCCCTCCCCAACCCACAACTAGGTAACAATTTCTGATTTCTATCATCATAGATGTAGTTTTGCCTATTCTTGAATTTTATACGAATGAAATCATACAGAATATATTTTTTTAACATTTGGTTAGATTCATCCATGTGGCTGTGTGTATGCGTGGTTCATTCCTTGCTACAGCTGAATAGAGTACTATTGTATATATAGGCCACAATGTGTTTATCCATTCTCCTCCTAATGAATTCTTGGGTTGTTTCCAGTGTTTAGCTCATATGAATAAGGTTGATGTGAAAGTTCTTATAGATGTCTTTCTGGGGACATAGGTTTTCATTGCTCTTGCATAATTACCTAGGGGTGGAATTATATATAGGCCATAGGGTAGGTGTATGTTCAACTTTATAAGGGAGCCATCAGAGTTCCTTAAAATGATTGTAATATTTTACATTCCCAGTAGCAATGTATTCAAGTTCCAGTTGCTCTACCCTCACCATCATTTGGCATTATCAGTCTATTTAATTTTAGCCATGCTAGGAGGTGTGAAGCGCTGTTTCATTATGGTTTTAAGTTGTATTTTCCTGATGACTCATGATGGTGAGAACATTTTCAAATGCTTATTGACCATTTGTACATCTACTTTTGTAAGATGTCTTTTCAAGTCTTTTGCCCTTTTTAAAAAATTGAGTTAATTTTTCATTGTAGATTTGTAAAAGTTCTAAATATATTCTGGATGTAAGTTCTTTATTGGATAATATATGGAAAATAGCCCAAACCACAATTTTTACTCCATTTTCTGGCCTACGAACTAAGGGGAATTAGAATAAAACTAAGACAACAAGCATGAAAGGAAGAGCCTGCCTTTTCTTTTGATTTTAGGTTCTGTTTCTGTGAAACTGAGTCTATGAGGTATCTATTTGCGGCAGGAAGATCCCAGGAGTACCACAGGCAGGAATCTATGGAGTGGAAGGTGCCGATGGTCCTGGTGAGGGAGAACAGAGTCAGGTCAGAGGGCTTTAGTTGAGAGAGTGATCTCTGGGATCTTGGGAATTCTAATCTAAGCTAAATGTGAAATATGTCCAGGATTCGATATTTGGTGTTTCTATATTCTTTCCTCTCCTCTCCTTACCCTCCCCCACTCTCATCGCCTGACACCATTGAATTGAGGAACCCAGGTCTGTTATGAAGCCTGGAGAATGGGAATTTCCAGGGCCGCCTCCTAAGGCTGCCCTCCCTGGGTCCACAGGCTGTCTCCTCTTTCTGTTGGATTCCCCTTTCTTCTCTCCCCCAGGCACTGATGCCCACAGCTTTCAATTAGTCTGATTTGTGTGTGTTTAATGTACACTGAATTTAAATTATTCTCTTTCCTAAGTATTTTCTGTTTCCTCTAGGAATGTTTTTTTCATTAGGTTCTTCCTCCCCATCTTCTTTCTGGGGCATAAGGTTGGAAGACAATAGGGGTCCATTTTTTAAAAAGAAAAATAGTTGTTTTCAAACATGAAGCTGACCTTACTGCTAATAAACAAACCTTTTTTCCAGCCTGACCCTGTGCTCTTGTTATGAACCAGTCAGATGGGTTACTTGCTGATGCTGAGAGCAAGTTCTGCTGTCTCCAGCCTTCTTCACTGGTCTAACAGCCCTGAAATGCCCTTGTCCTTCCTCCCAATCTGCTTAAGCCCTGACCACCCTTCAGAGTAAACCCTCTGGCATGAAGAGCTTCACGACAACACCCAGACCCAGATATTTTTCTCTGGCTTATCTAATAACATGGGTCATGGGTGAGTTTGCTAATACAGAGAGACAAGACGGAAAAGAAAAACCTGTGCCAGCGAGTGAATTTAGTGATTTTACTCCATCTGGAGAGAATTTGTTCAGGCTAGAAACTAGGGCCTGAAGCCAGTGAACGAAAGATGGAACACAAGGTTCCCAGAGGGCATTCCACTTTCAGTCAACCTATTTTGCTTTCTCCTTCCACTCAGTTACCACTGTCTCAGCTCCTGGCCCGTTCAGTTCCCCACTTGCTCTAGTGGCCTCTGTCTCCCTTACTCTCCTGAATTAATTGGGGAGTTAGGAAATGATGACTTATTTGACAGATACATCGGCAATATTTCTATTCTAACAAGTATCTACTCTGAGACATCAATAAGGGAAACCAGAGAAAGAGCCAAAATAAAATTTAAAAAAGGGTAAGAGGCAGTGGGAAATGGAAAATGGGAAGCCTCACTTCACAAAGAAGCCCAAGCTGTTCCTGCCAGATGAGATCCACCAAATCCAGTATTCTGCCATGAAAATTTGCTTCATAGGAGTTGGTTTAGCAGTCGCCTTGAGCTCTGTTTTCAGAGAGCTCTCTCCATTGGTTCCTCCTGTTTTCTTGGTATTCCCCAGTATTTATGTGTAGAGAAAGCTATCATCCCTCTTCCCCAGATGTTTTGATGTGTATCTGCCTGAATCAAAATTCACCTGCCCCCCTTTTATTCCCACTTCCTATGGTCTACCCACTTCAACTCTTTACCACCTGCAACACTGGAAATCTCACTGTGTAGTTCTTTCTTCAGATCAGTGTTTTGATGTTGGCAATAATGACGAAGAAGACAGTATGACTGAAGAAGACATTTTACTTTGTATTGTGCATTTATCATGCGGCAGGCAGTGTGTTAAGTGCTTGATCAACTTTATTTAATCCTCATAGCACTATAGGAGGAAATGAAAGCACAGAGAAGCCATAGTTTTTCCCATGGTCTCAGAGCTGGTGGTGGCAAAGCTGAGCATTT